GTGCTGCTTACTCTCTTGTTCCCCAAGGCTTGCTCAGCCTGTTTTCTTATAGAACCCAGGACCACCAGCCCACGGTGGCTCCACCCATAATGGACTGGGCCCTCCTCCATCAATCACTACTTAAGAAAATGCCCTACAGGCCAGCCTGACTACAGCCTGATTTTGTGGAGACGTTTTCTCAATTGAGGCTTCTCTCTCAGATGACTCAGCCTCTGTCAAGTTAACATAAAACTAGCCAGCACGTTTTGTTAGAGCATCAAGTTCTCCTGACTACTGAGCTGTCTCTTCATCCCCAGTGTCCTCTTGATTAAATACAACCTTACTATTTGACATGAGAATATTAGAATTTTTAGCCGCCTGTAAGAGCAGAAAGTTAGATCTGGCCAAAATAGAACAGGGCACCAGTAAGCAGGCTTTGAGAAACAAGCTAAGTGTCATTGCCTTCATTTAAATCATTAAAAAATTTAAATAATGTAAAGACATATGAAATTGTGTTTACCAAAAGAGCATAAGCTGATTACACAGAATTAAGAATATCTTTCAATAGCTGCTGTGGCCTGGACTGTGTTTAAGATTTTAGCCTTTCCATTTCCTAGTCACATCACTACATGTTTTTCCCTTCTTATTTCTAGACTTTTCCATCTCTTAGCTAATTTAACATAATGAAATCAATAAAGGGCCAAACACACTATGGTGATCTTGTTGCCTTTAAATAGTTAGGCATAAGTGGGGCAGGGATGAGAGGACAGGAGGATGGCTCAGCAGGTAAGATTGTATAACTCTAGCAGGAGACCTGGGCTAGGTTCCAAGCACCCCTTAGGTAGATTACAACTGCCTGTAATTCCAGCTCCAGGGGATCTGATGCCCTCTTCTGGCCTCTCAGGACACCTGCATTCATGTGCACATACTGCCACATAAACATACACATAATTAAAAATAAATCTTAAAAAATAATTAGGCAAAATGCATTTCATAACCCTTAAACATACACTTATAACCCCAATGATAATGCCCAGTGCTCATTTGTAATTTGTCACGAAGAGTACAAAATACGGATAAAGCTGTTGTTGGGTTTTTTGGGTTTTTTTTGTTTTGTGTTTTTCCATAATCCACAGTTTCAAACAAACAAACAAACAAACCCAGAGGCTGGAGAGATGGCTCAACAGTTAAGAACAGTTGTTACTCTTGCAGAGGACCCAGGTTTAGTTCCTGGTACCCACATGGTAACTCACAATCATTTGTAACTCCAGTTCCAGGAGATGGGACTCCTTCTGACTTCTGAGGACACCAGAAAAACGTGATAGTTTTTTTAGAAGTCCAGTTTGTATCATGACCTAGCATACAGATACTTGTTTTCTTTTCTCTATAAAAATTTCTTGAATCGTTATCAAACATATTTAAGGTTTACTGTTCAAAACTCTTTAATATGATTTTTCTTTGTTCTTCCCCTCCTCCTCCTCCTCCCCCTCCTCCTCCCCCCCTCCCCCTCCTCCTCCTCCTCCTCCTCCTCCTCCTCCTCCTCCTCCTCCTCCTCCATGTCACTAGTAAAATATCCCATCATATTTGCTGGTAGATTGTTACTTATTTGACCATTTGACTGGTTTTGTCTGATATTCTTGAGAGCGGGATCACTCACATTTTTATCCCTGATGTCAGTGCAGGCTAGACCTTAAATATTGGTTCAGTTTTTAAGATCATGTCTTTCTACTTGGGAAGACCAAACAAAAGACACCCTCTTTAAGACACTGTAGACAAATACATAGCAGAAACTGAAATTTGGATATTCCCTAAAATAAATGTTTTAACTTTTAAGTAACCATATCTAAGGAGCTAGGTTTAAGCACAGCATTACTGGTTAAGTATTGTTTCATTGTTTTCCCCTCTGAGTTTTCTTGTAAGTTTTGGATTTTTTTTTTTAAGTTTTGGATATTTTAAATCAGATTTTTAGAGAGAACCTTGTCCATGTTGCCAGGTCATTTTTTTAAGTGTAGCCTAATTTTTAAGATCTGACTGCCTCTGCTCTCCGAGTGCTGGGATTAAAGACATGTGTCACCATCACACAGCCCTTTATGATATTTTAATACTACAAAATTATTTTTATTAACTTTGTATAAAAAATTAATACTTGGCCAGGTGTGGTGGGCCAGGCCTCTAATCCCAGTACTCAGGAGGCCAAGGTAGGCAGATTTCTTTTGAATTTGAAGCCAGCCTGGTCTACAGAGCAAGTTCCAGGACAACCAGGGCTGTTATACAGAGAAACCTTATCTCAAAAAACAAAACAAAAACAAACAAAGAAAAATTTAATTCTCTAATGTTCTAAATTATATTGAAGAAAATATTCTTAATATTAATATTCATAGCTGGGCAATGGTGGCACACGCCTTTAATCTCAGCACTTGGGAGGCAGAGGCAGGTGGCTCTCTTGAGTTTGAGGCCAGCCTGGTCTATAGAGGGAGTTTCAGGACAGACAGAGCTACACAGAGAAACCCTGTCTCAAAAAACAAAACAAAATAACAAAAACACATTAACATTCTTATCAGAAGAGAGATATTATAAATGGAGAAATTAGTATTTCAAAGGTTAATATTTAATGTTTCTTAGAAGGACAGAGAAGGCAGAGAGTGTAAATGTTAAGCCCTAGGCTGGGAGCATGTGTCCATCCACAAGGGGGCATGATGTGTGAGTAGTGTGTGTATTGATTGATGTGCCAGCCGAGAGACCTCACAACTTTGGGTTGTCCCAGAAGGCTGTACTGTCCATTCACCATCTCTGCCAACATTCTCAATCTCTGCATTCACCTTCCATGGCTGCCTACCTTTTCTATGCCCTTCTTCCTGGCAAAAGTCCTTTTCCCAGAGTTTATTCTACCACACACCCTCCTTCACCTCTGAAGCTTCTGTGAGTAGTTGACCAGAGTTAGTGTTAATTTTAAATCTAAGTGCATTTTTAGGTTTTTATGGTTACAAATATTCTAGATATTTCTTCACTGACCAAACACTGTAATGTTAATTTTATATCTGTGGAAAGCCAAGGTCTTAGGGGGTGAGGAAAAGCCTTCTTGAAAAAGCTTTCGTCCTAGAGAATGGAACAGTTACTCCTTTCAGGATTACTATGTGATCAGTGAGGCTGTGGTGTGGTTGTTTCGTTTTCAGTTGGCACCTCTCTGGTTCTCAGAGAAAGGAACAAGTGCTCTCTTTGCCATGAACTTCTGTGAAGTTAAATCCATTAGCATATTCTTATGTTATGACAATGCAAAACCTGTTATTGCTGTTTTATCAACAGAACTTGAAATACAGGTACTCTGATCAAATCACTGTCTTGATAAGCAAGTCATGTTTTAAATACTCAACAAAAGCTACATATTAATGGTTTATGATATTTTCAAAGCTAGTTATATTTACAAGCCTTGGTTTAAAATGAATTCCAGAAGTGAGTCTTTTCTAAGACTTGGTATCTAATGGGTTCAGGGGCTTTCTGCGCCTTGAATGTATGTTTTCACTGTTTCAGTGGTTCATTGATGTCTGAGAGGACAGTGCCATTGCCTCGTTGCATAGTTACTGTATTCTTTCATTTTCTTCTGAAACTAATTGAGCTACAGTGTGGTGGTCAATTAATGTTCCCATTCCCTTGTTTTCTATTAGCTGCCACCCTTGGGTAATAGTAGTGATTTGCATTTTCCTGACAGTCCCTTCTGAGGTACTTTATTTACTCTGATAAGATGAAGTTAGTCAGCTAGATAATAGCTTAGATTTTGTTATGTGTCCTCTCCGTCACTTGGCTTTAAACTGCCCTGAGCACTGGGAGCACATGGCTGAGTCACCATGAGAATTTGGTAGTTCTGTCACTCTTGATTTCTTTTTCTGAAACATTCATTTCAGAACTGGGTTAATGTATCTATTTATGTACATGTAATTACTATTTAACCTATTTCTAAAGAATTTTGCTGACATTTTTAATGCAGTCTTCACAAAGTGAGTTATTATTGAACTTATTGAATAGAATCATTGATACTTGAAATCACCAGAAAGAGGAAAAGACAATAAAAATGGAAAATATTTCTGATGCTTCCCAACAGAGAAATAGATTAATAATAGCTTCACTATTTTCCTCAGTCTCTCTAGTATGTATCTGTAAAAAAAAAAAGTTTCTCAGTTATGAAGTTCTATGTACACTATAAAGAACATAGACTTTCTAGTTTGAAGCTCTTTGGTATGGAAATACAGTGCCTCGCTCTGATTTACTAAACATGTATTTGTGTTTACAGCACAGTAGACAAGCAGCTGTCACACACTGCCATTCCTGTGTGCAGCTGGAGCTTAGAGTAGAGAAGCCTCACAGTGAGGGACAGGAAGACAAGGAGAGGACCGGGAGGAGCGAAAGGGTTTTGACATTGTTACCTGACTTTAGATACATTCCTTTTCAGCTATACTGAATTATATATGCAGCATCTACACAGTGTCACCCATAAGTCAATCAAGTTCACGTGGTTGCGTAATTGTTTCTGTTACATTAATCATAATGTTAGAAATACTGACTTTGTTTTTGATACTGGTTGAAATACAAGCAAGAATTAACCCCTATTAGCTCAGAAAACAAGCATTCTAGCTATGGCTTTTTCCCCGTATATTACTGATTATAAAACTAGGAATTTACCTTCTGTTTAGTAGATATTAAGAGAAGTCAGTGCAACATAAAATGTGTTGGTCACTTAATGTTGCACACTGAAAGATTATTTTAAAAAGATACTTGGGATTGGGGACAGTTATGGTAAAAATTTAACCAGAAGATGGCAGTGATGAGCCTCCTATACTTCCTGCTACGGTAATCAAAAAGTTTACAAGTGTCCTAGCATGAGATGTGCACGTTTAACTGCTGTTACCTGGTGTTGAACATTGGAGGAAAACAGTTGCTGTTGCTTTATAAACTATGAAGAATGTATGTTTTCTCGAAGAAGGGATTAAGACTATTTTGGGTGTCTGTATCTTTGTCTGTACGTTCAGTTTTTTCTGAGTACTGGGGTAAGAAGTTACCATACATCTTTCCGTGTGTAATTTGCATGCGTTGCTTTCTGTTATGCATCATGTCTAGAAGGCATGCAGTTTTATGTATGGCCTGTTTGCATTTCCATCCACATTGCTGGAAACTAATGAACATTTTAAAGGAGCCATTCCTTTAGCTGTATCGGTTCTCTAAATTGTCTCTTTTCAATGGAGAGAAATGGACTGATTTTAAATACTAATTTTTTGAGGCACCAGGGATTAAATCCAGGACCTTGCACATGCTTGGCAGGCACTGAGCTACGTCCCCAGCCCTAAAATGGTTTGAAAGAAAAAATTATTAGACAGAGATTAATATCTTAAAACAAATCTTAAAAAACCAGAAAGTCAGTTACTTGAAGCATATTTCAAAGTTTTAATTTTGAGAGGGTAATCACAGTTAACACATAAAATAGGATTGTCTTACAAGAGTGACATTAAAAAAGTGAGAAGGAATGTTCTCCTTTGAAATTAGTGGCCGCCTTTGGTGATGGATGAGAGGAAGATACATCTTTCTATAATCTTGCCCTATAAACATAGAAAGCCTGAGTGCATCTTGGCAGAGAAATTGCATGAGTCCTCAGCATGGTTGTTAACTGTCTTTTTTCCTTTCTTCCTACTGTTCATTTTCTTTCACCCATATATTTCTGTTGTTTGATTTCTTATCAGTTTTCCCTTTTTCGTTAATTACTTCATGTTGAATTATCTTTGAAATACCACACGCTCTCATTGTAGTAACAGCAGATCCCTGTCTGTTTCACTATTCAGTCCCTCCTCCCATGTCTCCGTCCTCCAAATCTGTGAGCACACCAAGCGAAGCTGGAAGCCAAGATTCTGGAGATGGCGCCGTGGGGTCTAGGTATGTAATTCTTCATCAGTATTTTAATGATAGAACAGAGTGCGTTCAGGGCCAAGTGCTGTCAGTGCTTTAGAAGAAGGAGTCTGAATACTTGTGTTGACTTAGTATTTACTTCTTAAAGTCTGAACAGCATAGAAATTCTCTTGTAAACTGGGGTAAATTGTTGCAACAGTATTTTAGCTGTCACACGTTAGTAAATAGTTAAGTAGTTTTTATGATAATTTATATTAAAAATAGAGGTGTTCATGAATTTAAATTTGTTCTGCTTAAACAAATGTACTGTTATTGTGTGACTGTTTTGACTACAAATAGTATAGAACATCTTTGTTGTACTTAATTTCCCACTTGCTAATTGAACATTGAAACAATTCAATTAAGCAGCTCAATTCTGTTCTGTTAAGTAGCTGATTCTGTTAAATAAGATAAAAAGTAACCATAACATAAAATGTCAGAGCTGGGTAGTTAAGAGCACTTGCTGATCTTGCAGAGGACTTGGTTTAGTTCCTAGCACCCACATCTACCAGCCCACAACCATCTGTAACTATAGTTCTAGGGCATCCAACCTCTTTTGACCTCTGTGGGCACTGCACACACATTGTACACATACAGTCAAGGCACACACACATGCACATAATAAAATTGTAAAATAATGCATGAAGTGTCAGTGTTAAAGAATTACTGCCAAGGAAACACTGATTTACTTGCAGTTTTATTGAGCTTATGTCTGCCTCATAAAACTATTTCATGATTGTTTTAGGACTCTGCATACATGTTTAAACTTGTTTTTCAGAAATTCAGTAATATTTCATCTTTTTTCCTAAAGGATGTATTATCGATTGAGGAAAGTATTATCGATTCTTCCTGTGTCCTGCTTGTACATGGCAGTTGGCAAGTTTTTATTTACCAACACCCCCTTTATTACAGCTGAAGCAAGAGTAAACACAGCAGGTCAAAATCCACAGTTGATTCAGAATCCTTATTTCGGGCCAAAGTTAAATCTCCTCCTCAGAAAAACATCTTAGCATCCTTCTAAAGGCCAGATTATAGCTCAACAATAAGGACTTCCCTAGCATGTGTACAGCCCTGGCTGTCAGTACCCAGTACTACAAGAAAAAAGGTTATTAAAGCTTCTCACCTTTTTTCTTTTCCCGTGTGCATGTGTGTGCATGTGTCCCTCTGATTAAAGATAAAAATAGACAATTAGCTCTGAGAAAGAAAACAAACAAACAAAAACCTCACAACAAACCCTGCAAAGAAAAGGGGCAGCTGGATGGTCCCAAAAGTCAACAGTATATTCAGTTCTGAAATAACAATTAAAGGATACAGAAATGGGCTGGAGAGATGACTCAGCAGTTAAGAGCACATATTGCTCTTGCAGAGGACTTAGATTTGGTTTCCAGTACCCTCACTGTGATACAACCGTCTCTAGCTGCAGTTCCAGAGACTCTGATGCCTTCTTCTGATCTCTGCTGGTATCAGGCACACATGTGCTGCATAGACATACATGCAGGCTAACACTCAGATATGTAAAAGTAAAATCTAAAATAAAAGGTACAGAAAGCTTGCCAGCTTGAATCTGAGACATGCTTTCCAGAAACAACAAACATAGCAGTACAATTGTTGCAGGTAAAGATAACTCTCATTTAAGAAAAAATTAAAGCTTTCTTTTGACAAGTAATATTACTCTATAAAATATATATTGTGAAGGCAATTTAATCTAAATTAATTTTTAGGGCTACAGCTATTTGGTTTATGCTTCTATGCTTTTTGCTTTTGTTTCTAAGACAGGGTCTCACCATGTAGCCCTGGGTGGCTTGGAATTCACTCTGTGCACCAGGCTGGCCTTGAACTCAGAGACTCACCTGCCTCTGCCTCCCGAGTGCTGGGATAAAAGGTGTGAGCCACCATGCCTGGCATTTCCACACCCTTCTATACAAATATGTCAGTATGCCTCTAAATATCGAATAAGCAACTGGTATTTTCAAGTGAAAGGGTTTTTTTTCTTTTCTACAACCAACATTATAACAGTGAAAATATTTCTCAACCTAAGTTACTGTATTTTCTAAATTCCTGAGTATTACATATTATCTTTATTTAAATAATCTATACTTTGAGTTCATTGGTCCTGGTTCCAAATAGGAAGAGAGGGTATTTTAGAGCATTGTCAGTAAGTTTGTTTTGAAAGGGACTGTGTAACACTGACTTAATTTTTAAAGCTAATGTGAGTTAAAAAGTGTCATCCTCCGTGAATAACCTAGAAACTAGTAGAGATGCGTTAGGCTATTGTAAACTGGGAGGAAGTACTGGTGAGAAAACTATTTGTGTGGGGAACAAATAGATAGTCGTCACATTGCCAGCTTTGTCTGAGTTACTGTAGATTACCACATAAGACAGATTCTCTGCTTTCACAGAATGTCAAGCTAGTGATTGTGTCATTAGCTTGAAGATGCTTTTTCAAATTGCTCAAAGGAGATTATGTAGCTTGTGCTTAATGTAAAGTGTATTTTATGACTTACTGTAAAATAAAATAAGTAACTTGATAACTTTAAAGATGTTTGTTCTTAATTGAGAAAGAAAACAGTTTTTATGTAAGTTTAGCAGAAAAGAAAAGAACTTTTACATCTTAATTCAGTGTCCTGTGAAAGCACTGACTCACCTGGAAATAACTTTCAAGAGGGCTGTTTGTCCATTTTACACATGCAAATAGAAACCTGCATTTTGTTGATTCATCTCCAAGTTCCAGAATTTGTAGATGTTTAAAAAAGTAGTAAAATAATGCATGTCTAAATACACGGCATTTAAATGGACTACTTGGATCTGAAAGTGAAGTGAAACCAGTTCATACTGAGCAGAATGCTAATGGAGGAGTGTAGATGTATCCAACCTTCCCATCAAACAATAAACACAGAACCAATGCAAAGAAGAAAGCCAAGAGGTCAGAGCCAAGAGCCAAAACCTTACCCTTCCTCCTGCAGTGGTCCTACCTCTCCGAACCAGAGCTACCCCTGTGTTAAAGTCTTTATATAGAGTTCCTGTCCTGCCTTCTCATTGGTTGTAAACCCAACCACATGACCGCCTCCTCACAGCCTGTCTGTATAGGCCTCCAGGTTTTCCATGATTGGTATTAAGATTAAAGGCATGTGTATCCAATAATGGCTGTATCCCTGAACACACAGAGACTTACCCAGCTCTGCCTACTAAGTGCTGGAATTACAAGCATACGCTACCACTGCCCTGCTTTCCTATGGCTTGCTAATAGCTCTGACCCCCGGGCAACTTTATTTATTAACATACAAATAACATTTTAATACAAATAAAATATCACCATAGAGGAGTGAGAACAGATGTCACAGGAAATGCATGAAGATGTGTGAGGTGGACCTGGACACTCAACCTGCATTGTTGGCCAGGGTGGTCTAAGATTAGTCCACACAAAGAACAGGAGAAGATAAGAGTCAACATTAGAATGGAGGATATTGTTGCATAACTCTTTTTAAATGATAAAAATTTCTATTGGTATTACTGATAATTTACGAGTAAGTATAAAAGGATGAGCTGGTCAGTTTTGCATGTTGGATGTTACATTTTATTGCTTACTTTCTTAATCACTTTTGTTCTAAAATTTAAGTGATGGTTATTCAGTTAGGTAGTTCATGCTTATTCCTTTTTTTTCTATTTTTGATCAGTTTACTTCTAAGAATTAGGATTGTACTTTATATGTCTAAAGAACCTTTTAGTATATATAACCATGTATTTTGAATGGTGTATTTTTTGAGTACTGGCTATATTCTGAAATGAAGTTTTGCTCAATTTTAGACTAAAATGACATTCTCAACAAGGAGGTCTATGTTATTGGTCAGCTAGAGCCCTTTTATAATGTAGAGGCTGTTGACAGAACATTCTTTGGAGACCATCTCATCAAACTGCTTTTGGTTTAACAAAGCCTAAGTTTGTTACTGTTCGTTGCTCAATACAAAGTAGGTCTTCACTGGGCCCTCTTTTCTTCGTTGCATACATACAAACCCTGTTTAAAATCCCATGATCTCTCCTCGTAAGAGGAAGGATTCCTCTTATTTCATTTGTGTTTTTTTTATTGATAAATTATGCAGGCAAGCTGAGAAATCATTTGTTGTATTAAAAATTACAGAACTAAAACTAGGTGTGTCTTCTATAACTTGTATAAATGAGAAGTAAATATCCCACAAAATGCTAGTACTAAATGTAGAACTGTACTTAGCCTTTGTATGGAGCTGTGAACATTGTAAGTGTTGCTAACATACAAGAATGCCAATGTGATAAAGTACCTTTTGTTCTGATAAAGAGAGATTTATCTTAGGTGGAGAAGGTTAGATATAAGATATTTACTTACCCAGGCAGTGATAAAACAGCATTGACTTTGTTAGGATTGAGATTCTCCCAAAGTTAGGGAAGTCCTTTGGGAAGGGAAAAATCTCTTTTTTCCTAGAGGCAGAAATCTTTAGTGCTTTTCTAAAGCAGTGACATGTAAGCCCAAGGCAGTGCTTAACCCATGAATTACAGCAAGGTCACACTTTGGAAACGTTAGCTGTTTGGTATCCCAGTGGAATAGTCTTGCTTTTCTTACCAAGAGGCTTATGTGTTGACTCATTTCCTTTACCAATATGGCAATTTCCTGCACACATTTAAAGCTTTGGGCAAGATTAAATGTTAACTATTTTCACTAATCTTTTTTTCATTAGGAATCTTAGAACTCCTTTTAACTCTTTGGTAGCCCGTTTTGTTTACCATCCATAAATAATATGTATTTGGTTTGTGTGCTTTAGCTGTTTGTATACCTTTTTGTGCAATACTAATTCCCCACATTCTGAAGATACATAGAATTATTCTGGATTATGTACCTGCATCCTTAACCACCTTGATGCTTGCTGTGTGCACTAGAGCACTGGAGTGATTACCTAGTGTGAGGGCTTTGGTTTGGTCTCACTAACCAGCACACGTAGTTCTTAGTTGTGAATAGTACTTTCGCATTAGCCGTTTATAGACTGCATTTGCCTGACTAATTTCTGACCTTTTCCACTAATGCTTCATGGCTGTCCTACAACCGTTTAGGACGCTGCACTGGGATACAGACCCATCCGTTCTTCAGCTCCACTCAGAGTCCGATTTGGGGTATTGCATAGATTTGTTACCTTCTCTCTTTAATAGTTCATTTGCTTCTTTGTTAAACTGTCCTGATTTTACTCTGTTTAAGTTTCTAATAGTATATCTAGTGAAGACAAGCGTTATATTTTACTGTGACTTCTCATTTATCCTTTTAATTGAATAATTAATCATTTTAATTAAATCTTTTCTGAGTTACTTGATATGAAAATTAATTTTTCTATAATAAAATTAATCAGTGAGTCTAAAGTCCTGAAAGGAACAAGCTACGTTAGTCTCTATACTCTGGCCCCGGATTTCTGTGTATTAACTTACTGTGTCACTGACTCATTCATTCATTCTAGGCTCCAATACAAAAAAAAAAAAAAACCTTGCTGTGGCCATTGTACCTGACCAAGATAGCTCTTTTCCCTTGATAATCTACAGCTTCTGAAATATGCAACCTTATTTCATTGCATTGCATCTGAAGCAAGAATAAATATAGGAAACGTCTGTGGGCTTCTGCCAGCAGACCTCTCTCTGGCTACACTAGTCTTTTCCCTCTCCCTTCCCATTGGTTCCTTATTTTCAGTAAATGTAGCTTTTGGAGAAGTGAGGTGTTGCCCTTGTCCTTCTATAAAGTCTTAGAATTTTAAAAAAACGTTTTCTTTTGCTATTGGGTTTATTATGCTTTCATGTTAGTAATTTGTTCCTAATACTGTTAGCCTATCCTTTTCTTTCTAGGTAAGCGAGTGGTTTTTTTCTTTAATGGTTTGCATCTTAAAAGAAGTATGAAGTTCTAATTTCAAACTTTACTCTTAGACTACTCTAGATTGCTTCAAGTATCCTTAAATTTTGCCATTTAATTATTTGAAGATACCCCCCCCCTTTATAACTAAGCTATTCCTAAAGTAGAAAACACAGTAAAAATGTTTTATGGCTCACAGAAATCCAGACAGATCTCTTCCTCCCAAGTGATAGGATTAAGGGTGTGTGCCACCACACCTGACCTCTATGTCTATAATCTACTGGCTGGCTCTGTCCTCTGATCTTCCAGCAAGTTGATTAGGGTACACAATATATCAATCACCACATTATATGTATTAACAGTGACATATATTGAAAAAGATATGTTTATGAAATGTGAGACATTTATTCCAGATACTAGGGAAGTTACAACAATGTTTATATTGGATATCTTTTCAAGAGAATTTCATGATTAAGAACTTTTAACAGTTGGAAAGCATACTTTAGTTTATAATTTAAATACCTAATAACCAAGTGAAAGTTCCCAGAATAGCTAAAGAGGTATTTTTTTCTTTCTTTCAACTCTCCTGCTATTTCCTGCATTTCACTCAATCAGAAGTGACTTCTGTAGTTTGATTATATTCAAGAAACCTGTTACTTTAGGCTTAGAATATTTCAATCTTACTTTGTCCACCATGAATCACAGACAATATTGACTATGTAGAGATTGAAAAAAATAAATAATTTATTTTAAAATCCACACTGATGTGATTCTAGTGTCTATCAAATGTAAGAAGTAGAAAAATGGCTGTCAAGATGGCTGGGCCATGCCAGCCTGGCCACCTAAATTCAGTCCCTGCAACCTACAGAAAGGTGATGGAGAGAGGTGACTTTCAAAGTTGTCCTCTGACACCCCCCCCACACGCACACACATGCACGCACACATGCATGTGCAGACACTTAAAACACTTGTTTAAAGAGAGAAAGTTTCAACAGAAACCTACTTTTCAGTCTTAAAACCCAGCAATGGTGTGGAACTAACAAGGGCTGGGTGAGGCATTTGACTCTTGAAGAAAGTCTGGAATCCTAATTGTTAGTTCTTACAACCTACCTACCATCTTTAGCAGTCCATTTGAAACTCCTGTCCTCTCAAACTGTTACTACTTACACATTTACCCTAAAAAATGACACTACTTGCCTATTGAAAATGAAACATAAGTGCCCTGAGCGAATCAGAAATATCTTTGGTCTGTACCAACCACCTTCTAATCCTTTTGCTAAAATAAAGCCAATTCATTGTTCACCTCACATTTCTCTAGGAAAGCAAGGTTTTGAATTTCAATGCTACATACACAGGAATCAATTCTTAATTTTTGAAAATAGCAAGCTTGATGTAGTTAAAATTTATCATTCGTTGTGTTTAAAAGCATTTATATTCACTCATTTAGACGAGGACCTATTAAACTTGGAATGGCCAAAATTACTCAAGTTGACTTCCCCCCTCGAGAAATCGTCACTTATACAAAGGAGACTCAGACACCAGTTACAGCTCAACCCAAAGAAGGTGAGTATCTGACCTTAATATGACTGTCCTTAAGACTCTGTGGGAAGTGAGTAGATTTGGGTTTGTTTGTTTTTTTTTCTTTATCTTTTTTGGCTTTGTTTTGTTTTTCGAGTCAGGGTTTCTCTGTATAACCCTGGCTGTCCTGGAACTTACTTTATAGACCAGGCTGGCCTCGAACTCACAGAGATCCGCCTCCCCTGCCTCCCAAGTGCTGGGACTAAAGGCGTGCGCCACCACTGCTCAGCCTCTTTATCTTTTATGTTTGGCATTTAGCGGGTGAGGGAGTGTGGTATGTGTACACATGTATGCGCATGGAGGCCAGAGGAGGCTGGGGGTCCTGCTCTATCTCTGCCTCATTGCCTGGACACAGTTCTGCCTCGCTGAACCGGGAACTAGACTACACACACACACACACACACACACACACACACACACACACACACACACACACACTTCTGCCTCGCTGAACCGGGAACTAGACTACACACACACACACACACACACACACACACACACACACACACACACACACACACACACACACACACACACACACGGTCCTGCCTGACTTTTGTTTTGTAATGTGGATCCTGGGGATTTGAACTTAGGTCTTCCTGCTTGCTTGCCACAGCAAGAACTCTTACCCACTGAGCCATCTTCCTAGCCTTACTTTTGACATTTTCTTAGAGAACCATTATAAAACTAATAATGCTTCAGTTTCTGTATTTATATATCTTTTTTAAAATCACATTGTAAGCTGGGCAGTGGTGGCGCCTTTAATCCCAGCACTTGGGAGGGAGGCAGAGGCAGTCGGATCCCAATGAGATCAAGGCCAGCCTGGTCTACAAAGCAAGTTCTAGGACAGCCAGGACTGTTTCACCGAGAAACCCTGTCTCAAAAAACAAACAAACAAACAAACAAATCACATTGTAATGAACTCACAGATTAAAAACATCACACAGCTAAATTAATGTAGCCACTCATACATTTGCTCAGGCTCATTTATTGGTTTATTTAAGAATTTTAGAGGCTGGGGAGATGATGGCTCAGCAGCTGAGAGCACTGGCTACTCTTCCAGAGGACCCGGGTTCAGTTCCCAGCGACCACATGGCAGCTCACAGCTGTCTGTAACCCCAGTTCCAGGGGATCCGACACCCTCACACAGACTTGCATGCAGACAAAACATCAGTGCACATAAAATAAAAATAAATCATTAAAAGGTTTTTTCTTTAAAGAATTTTAAAGCTTTTACTTCCTGGCTTTTTTGTGGTTTTAAACTTAAATTCACAGTCTTCGTTTTGTCACTGATATGTACTTCTTTGAGAAGTAGAAGAGACGGATTTGAAACTAAAAAAGAGAAATTAACCGCATTGTATCAACTAGAATGGCCTTCCTTTGATGTAGGCTAACCAGGAGAAGGAAGTTTCGACCCCTACCTGGTGGCTCACACCAAAGAGTTTATCTTTGGGGCTCCCGGCCATGAAGACCAGATTCCTTATGTTGTTACCTGACAGGATCTAGTCCTGCACCCCCTTTCTTGGCTAAAACCCTTTATTTCCACAGGACCGCCAAGAAAGACTGTCTTGGCCCTCAAAGAGGAAAATGAAAAGCCACACACTGTACCCTGTGGGAGACCACTCAGAATTGAGACAAACAAGTACTAGATGCTCTAAGACATAAAGGATAACTTGTATCACTTGTGTATAGGTTGCCAATTTCCTTGCAGCAACGCCAGTACCAATCCCTGTTTGACAAGACTTCTGTTACTCCCCCCATTTTGGAATTCTGCAAGGCCAGAGGCCTTGAACATTATTATACTTGAACTTTGCCACCTTTTCCATGAGCCTAGGAACTATTTCTTCCGGCTATGATGCCTGTGTGTAGCATGTAGTGGGCTCACTGCACACCTAAAGGAGTGTTATTCAGTGTTACCTACCTCAGAGAACAAGTTTTACCTGGGATACTTAATTTTCTTGCTTTCATGATGGAAGAGAAATATGTTGTTTTCAAGTGTTAAATAATTGTTGATGAAATTTGGATGAAAAGTATGATTAGTCCAGTACTTGTTGAGTATATCCTAATCACTGTGTGTTCTTAGGCCCAGAAGTGAAACCATTATAGGGTCTCCTGGGTAGCCTTTTTTTTTTTTTTTGGTTTTCGAGACAGGGTTTCTCTGTGTAGTTTTGGTGCCTGTTCTGGATCTCACTCTGTAGACCAGGTTGGTCTCGAACTCACAGAGATCCGACTGGCTCTGCCTCCCGAGTGCTGGGATTAAAGGCGTGCGCCACCACCGCCGGGCCTAGATAGCCTTCTTAAATAGAGACATAAGCATGTGCCTACTTTGTGTTTTTTGTAGCCCTCTGAATTCAGGGCTAAATTGAATCTGTCAGCATCTCTTAAGTATACTATTAAAGCTATTTGTTTATAATAGTTCTCAAAATGCTTGAATTTTGAGAATTTTTAAATTCTATTTAAATCAGTGGCAGAAAAATTTAACTGCCCAGTACTCACTACATACCAGGCATTGTATTTCTAATCCTCTCACCAAAACTTTGAAAGTTGGGGTCTAGAGAGATAGCTCAGTGGTTAAGAGCACTTTCTCTCCAAAGGACCCCAGTTACCCATTACATCATTTACAACATCTTGGAACTCCTCGTCTAGGATATCTGATGCCCTCTTCTGGCTTCTGTGGGCACACACACATATTTGTGGCCGATTGCAAACACAGGCAGCAACAACCCCAAATGTTAATTAAGCCTTGATTCTTTTTTTTCTTATATGTATGAGTGCTCTATCTGTATATACACCTTTATGCCAGAAGAGGGCATCAGGCTCCACTATAGATGATTGTGAGCCTCTGTGTGGTTGCTGGAAATTGAACTCAGGACCTCAGAAAGAGCAACCAGTGCTTTTAACTGCTGAGCCATCTCTCCAGTCCAAACTTTGATTCTTATTTGCACACAAAGAAGCTAAAAAAAAAAAAAAAGAAGTGATTATCAAAGCTTACCAGCTAATAACTACTGTTCTAAACCATGTCTAACCAATTCTAAGATATACATTCTCTCATGTTGCCACAAAACAGCAAACTTTGTGTTTTTATGATAGTAACTTATAAGTAGTTTTAAGTTTTATTACAGTCCAATACAAATGTTTTAAAATAGTGCCATCTCTTTTCTCACTATATCATCTCCTTTTTAAAATACTGACTACAAGTGCCAAGTTGATTTATTGGTTTAGAGCTGCCGTTTAGCGACACTTCATTCAAAAGGGAGTGTGGGTCATAGCGTACTGCTTTGTCTGCGTCAGAGCAGTATCATTTTAGTGGTGACCTCCAGACAGTGAGTAAGCCCCGAAGCCCTTTCACTAGAGTAGAGTAAACGGATCTTTTCTTCACTAACGGAAATGGAAGGGGCAAGATGGGTGAATGGAGCCCATTTCAGAGGGTTCAACTGGTTCACCATCCTTTAGAGTCTTCCTGTGTAGACTCGATTTAGAGGTTCACTTCATAAAGTCCATGTTTGTTTATTCGCAGTCCAGCAAGTGTCCTTGAGTGTGGTGAGTGCTGCTGCCCTCTGTATATGAAGGCACTGGGTCTCCTTTTCCGCGGCTTTGTGCTTCAGTTAGGGCTTGGCGTATCCAAGTGGAGAAGAGTGAGAAGCCTGTCCTCATGCCGTGAGGCCATTCGTACCCTTTGCACCACTTACAAAAATTAGATAATGCCGTTTTTTATGCCATTGCAATTAACTTCATGACATTGAATTTCATTCCCATGTTGTCGAAGTTCTAGAGGCAAGAAGAAAAAACATTAAATAAGATTTTTCTAATGAAAACACTTGGTGCTTAACCACATCCATTGCTTTAATTCGGTGCTCCTCAAACTCAGCCCAGATGGTGACCATTTAGCAGTTACTTAAGGGACTCGAGTGCTGTTTTGTGGTAGCATATTTGTCTCATGTTCATGAAACACTGGGTTCAAGCCTTAGCACTGCAATTTATTTTTTAATTGTAATTATCTGAGAAAAAAAGTTTGCCATGAAAAAAAAATGTTTACTCCCACAACTGGAGTGTAACCGTAAATCCAGAAGGCAGTATGTTCAGTACAGGAGTAATGTGTGGGAAAACTGGTCTTTAGTCTTACCACCCTCCTTTATTTAAGTGGCTAAAGCTGTCCTTTTCAAAAGCAGTTTCATTCCACTTTGTTTTTCTCTATTCCAGCCATTTTCTTACTGTCAAGTCTGCTCTGTGAGTTAGTGGTACTGTTTCTGAATCTGGGTGCTTTTGCTGTCTTAAAGCACCTACTGTGAATGAAATTGACTAAGACCATGTGACCTCAGTCAATTCCCTTCTCTGCAGGCAGGCAGCTTCCAGAACGGAAGAGTGGTGCCCACAGGCACACTCTTACTTACTTTCTACCTTTTCCTTTTAAAAGTTTAACTCTTGAAAATAGCATTTTTTTTTTCTTATCCACCTCTTCAGTATGGATTTTTGTTGTTGTATTTTTGTTTTTTAATTACAAAAGTATAAAGACATCCAAAAAGGCCCTTTAACCTACCCAGCTAGTTTCCATCTTTGGAAGCTGTGGTCCTGGAAAGTCAGTTGATGAACCAAGTCTGCAGTGAGGGAGGCCCTGGGGTTATTAAGCAGAGCAGCCTCTTGCTTGCTTTCTGTGAGAAGCCATCTCCTTCCTCCATTCTGCTGCGTCCATGGAGGGATTTCTGACCTGTTGCTTCTTGGTTTCATGAAACAGATACTAATGTTGATTACCTTTTACAGTATATAGAAGATGGTTATATGTAAACCTGTAATCTTTTGTTGTATAATCTTACTATCTAGAATCTACACTTCCCACTTGTAGACCAAATTTGTGGGCTTTCTAGTTAATAATTTAGTATTAGCCTTACCTAAAATGGAGTTTTAAAAAGTTCCAAAGTAAATTATGTGTTTAATGAATTAGCTTTAACCTTTAATATGTGAGAATATAAATAGAACTGAACATTATGTCATTTGTTCTTAATTTTGAACTGAAGAATTTAAATCTGAATAAAACTGGCCCAGAAAAAAAGTAACATTTAATGAGATCACAGATAATTGAATTACTAATAATAATAATTCAGCCAAAATAAAATCCGAATTTTCTATTTTAAAAAGGTATGTTGAGAGGGCTGGAGAGATCTGGTTAAGAACACTGGTTGCTCCTCTGAGACCTGAGTTGGATTTCTAGCACTTCAGCGATCATGGGAGCACAGCTGTCTAACTCCAGTCCCAGCGGGATCCAGTACTGCACATAGGTGCTGCACAGACATCCATGCAGGCAAAGCAGTCATACACATAAACTAAAAAGTTTATTTCCTCCCAACATTATATCTGAATTCAAAATACTTGTGATTAAAATGTCAGCTCTGTTTCCCTTTTTGAAGTCCAAATTATTAAGCAAATAGAAGTGATCCTATTCGGGATGAAAAAAAAAAAGCAAGAGAGAAAGGAATGAATTTGTTTTATTTTATTATTATTATTATTTTCAGAGACAGGTTTTTTTCTGTGTAGCCTTGGCTGTCCTGGAACTCACTCTGTAGACGAGGCTGGCCTCACACTCAGATCCACCTGCCTCTGCCTCCTGAGTGCTGGCATTACAGGTGTGGGCCACTACCGCCCACAAAAAGGAAGGAATCTTATCAATACAATGATACAACTTTGTTTCATTGAAGGTTATTTTAATTATTCATTTGATTTGAAGGTATAAGAAGATCGCTGTATAGGGGGTGGGCAAGATGGCTCAGTGGGTAAAGATACTTGCTGTCAACCCTAATGACCAGCTTTGATTCCCAGGACCCACATGGTAGACTTAACTCCCACACGTGGGCCCAGGCATGTACCTGCCCACATACATACACGTATTAAATAGAAGTAAATAGATACATTTTAAGGTTATTTAGAAAATGTTAAAGGAAAATTGTTCCTGTCTGGTCTGGATTTTCAAATTAATGATTGCACTGCTGATAGATGTCTACAGGATTATTCATTAGTTGAATCTTTGTAAGTTGAATCATTTTTATGAGCATCAAATTCCCTGATTAAAGTTAGGAATTCATCATAAGATATTAAATCATCTTAAAAGGGTATATTATCAATATATAAAACTAACAATGAACTGGTTGCCAACAATTTTATTTCATGAACAGCAATGCACTAGTGATGGGATTCATTAACTTTATATTGAAAACCATAAGTGGTGGATTTATAAGTTGCAGTGTTTGTTTACTATGGATATTCTAAGATCTTGCATATTACTATATAAATATGGCTATTGTAGAATTATTCAAAAGTGTACTTTATGGTTTCTTAAACATATCTTAAGTATGAATGGCATGTAAATGAGAGACCCTGTTCAGAAGCCATCTTCCTTTAGGTTAACAGAAGCCACCCATTTCACAGATGATTTAACTGATTAACCCACTGCTTCGCTGATTATTCTAGCAACCAGAAGTTCACTCCTTGGTGTTGTCTCTAGGTGCAGCTTAATTTACAGAACAGTTTTCTTTTTGTCTCACCAAAATGCATGACAGTTTTGGTGTTAACTCAAAGTAAAAATCAGTGGTTCATGAAACCTAGTTTCAGCATGCCTTGACAGGAGATGTGTCATTTTGAAAGTAACTGTATCTCTCTGCACTCTACTGCTTAGCCTGTAGCCTCAGCTTCTCTGTCAGGGAAAGCCTGGAGTTAACCACTTAGCATGCAGTCATGAATATTCATCAGCAAACTGATGTGCATGGCAGTCTTCCTGTTCACTTACAGTCTTCCAGTTTTAAGTATGTTATAGCTTACCACATAACAGGGAGTGTCTGAGACAATCTTTACAACTGTGGTATTGGATCTGGGGCCATATTAGTGGTCCTGTGATAGCTATGGTTGTAGAAGTTCTTAGTAAGAAGGGCATCTTGGCTCCAGAGGAGCATTCACATATATATGTGATTATTTAGCATATACTTTATAACAAAAATAGTTCACTTTATAGTTTTGTTTTTTTTTTTAGGTTTTTCGAGACAGGGTTTCTCTGTGTAGCTTTGCGCCTTTCCTGGGACTCACTCTGTAGCCCAGGCTGGCCTTGAACTCGCAGAGATCCGCCTGCCTCTGCCTCCCGAGTGCTGGGATTAAAGGCATGCGCCACCACCGCCCAGCTATAGTTTTTTTTTTTTTTAAAGCAGCCTGTTATTTGCTTTTATATTCCTGGAAAATTAGTTTAGTGACCTTTCTGAAGCTTGATTTAAGTACTAATTATAGTTTTTAAGTCCGTATTTGATCATTGTAGAAAAGGATGTATGTTCATTGATTCTAAAATAAAATTCCAGAAGGTGTGTTTGCAGAGTTGCTACTAACCATCCATCTACAGAATGGCTTAGCAACAGACCAGCAGCTAATGTACTTCATCTGCATTTATATTTCAGAAGGAAAGAGTGTCTGTAAACAAGAGCCTTTCTGTTAAATATGCAGATTAGTAGGTCACTTAGCACTGGAAAATACTGACTCTATGCATATGACAGGACTTTGACACCTGTCTTTGGAAATGGTACTTAGAAGTGGTATAATATAACAGAGTAGAGAGAAGAGAAGATGTGGGCAGGAGGCTGCAGTTTATAATTCACAGTGCTTGAGAGTGACTTGTCCGGGGTGATTCCAAGTCCTTAATTTAGAATTTACATACCGTGAGCCTGCTAGTTAACAGAATTGATTAGGAAAACTGATAATATTAGGAAAACCTAGCTACATTCTTTTCTCACACTAAATGTAAAAAAGAAACCCACAGCGCTGTAAGAATAGTACTCATACTAAAGTTTTCATGGAAATAGGATCTCCTGTTATTCTAGAAGTCAGAAGTAAATGTAATTAAATGATTTCATTTCAGTATCCCTGTAGATTATTTTATGGCAGAGTCACATCCTAATGTTAGAACAGTACAGGATGGAGTCACCATCAGACACACTGTTTTCAGATTAATAATCCTTTGTGTATGAGAATCCATCTAAGAAGGAGTAGTGTCTTTCTGTTTCTCTATGTGATTATTTTGCCCAAAAAAAAGCTTTCATTTTTTAAGTAGCACAAAAGCTATAATTGGCATGCTTTGTAAGGAAGTGTCAGTGTGCAGGAGAGTGACGACCACTAAGAATTCTCGTACGTGTTCTTTCCCCTTTGCGCCACCGCCTCCCCAGCAGGGTCACTGAGATCACTAGCTTTTCTTGAAATGGCCATTTTCACTGGCAGGTGCATTATACCCTGTATTTTCAGATTGTTTTTCCATTCTGAATGTTTGGCAGGTTGATTGCTCTGGCTGCATTGACGGAGAAAGGGCTGACAAATGCGGTTGGGCTGCCTGAAAAGACAGTGATTACTGTTTTCCTTTGTGGCTGATTGAGGCCCTTGAAAGGAAAAATTTTAACCTTCACCATTTGGTTCAAAAGTATGAGCATATATTGAAATCACTCATGCCATTTATCCCAGTTCTGTAAACTTGTCAGACGTAAAAATCGCTCAATTTCAAGTAATGTACGATTGGCATACGTCATTATCATTCTGATTAAGTTGGAGCTTGTATCATTGTGTGCGTTATACGGTGTCATTTAAAGCTTTCTGTGCACAGGTACAGTTGTATTTTTATTGCTTATACTATAGAGTTGGAAAGATTTCCTTCGCTCTCTAAATCTAACACTGTGTGTGGTTTGGCAGCTGGTGTGGCCTACAGGCTGCATTTTGTTTGCAGGGTAAAGGCTTGTCTGTAGCCTCCTGGAGTGTGGGTAATTGCACAGGCTCACCATTGGGGAGAGACACGGGATTGGAAGCAGTCAAGCGGAAGAATGTTATGCCATCCCCTTGCCACCTTGCAGCAGAAAGACACAATCCCAGCAGTGCCATCTGGTTGCTGCTATCTAGTCAGCTGGCGTGACTGCTGGGACCGTGACTTGGCAGCTGGTTCCCATCCTTGACCGTTCTTTTGTGTAGGTTGTATGTGTATGTGGTTTAGATCATTCTGGACATGGGTCAGGGAAATGACTATACCAGACAAGGAAAGGCCCTTTATTGAATAGGCTTTCATTACTTGAGACGCACTCTGTTGCAGATGCCTGCTGCCATTCCCTAATAGACAGCTAAGATGTGCTTAGGCAATAAAAATACACGTTTTTCTTCTTGAAATCTGCCTTGGTTTATAGCTAAAAGAGATGGTAGACAGGGTTATATGCACCATAATATTTTTTAAATAAACTATTTTAAGCTGTATGCTGGTTTGAGGATTTATGAGATTTGATAATTTTTAAAAGTCATAAGCATGATATATTTCTGAATATTTTATTAAAATTAAAGAAAACTGTTTTAAGTGCTATTGCCACATCATACAGTGATAGATAATGAGACTTGCATTTAAAATGACAGAATAGAAAATGTGATCTCAAAGCTATTATCTTTAAAATCTGCCTCTCAAATAGCAACCTGAGAGTTAATGTAAGCATCTTTATGTCCTAGGAAGACCCATCAGACACTGATGGTTTCAGATCACAAGTAAGCAGCCAGCTCCGTGGGCTGTTCAGACATTTGATTTTCTTCATTCTGCAGCATTAATGTGTCAGCATGCTCTACAGAACTATGTAGGAGTCACACGTTGTTCTGTCTAGAATAGTAATCCTGGTAAGCTTTTAAAGACTTCCATGAGGAGTGCATCCTACTGACATACCTTACTCGTGGTTTACATAGTTACAGAACCTAGGATAACTCTTGACCCCTGTATCTAAAAACGCGAGAGTTCCCATTTCATTCGTTAAGTTGGTGCTGGTAAAGTTCCTGTTGTCTGCACGCAGTCTTTATAGTGGGATGTTTTCACCCTGAGGGGTTGAGGGGGTTGTGATGCTCTGAGACAGTGCTTCAGAATCACCAGCTGTCTGTAGTAAGCTAGTCTTTGTTTATTGTTCCATCCTTGTTCAGATGAGGAGGAGGAAGATGACGTAACAACTCCTAAACCTCCTGTTGAACCCGAAGAAGAGAAAACCTTGACAAAAGATGAAGAGAGCGATAGCAAAGGTATCCTAACACATTTCAGGTGTTTTTCTCTGCTGATTCCTCTTAAAACGTGTGTTGTTATTTAGGAACTAAAGTAGAATAAAATGTCCGAAATCAAAGAGGTGATTCTCATTTTAAACGAATGTGTGCTATTTCTTGATCCAAACTGTAATAGTGAGTTGACAGGATTTGATTGGCCTAAATCATACTTTTTAAAAAATATTTTTTCCAGCTCCCCCTCATGAACTAACTGAAGAAGAAAAGCAACAAATTTTACACTCAGAAGAATTTTTAAGTTTCTTTGACCATTCTACAAGAATTGTGGAAAGAGCCCTTTCTGAGCAGATTAACATCTTCTTTGACTACAGTGGGAGAGATTTGGAAGACAAAGAAGGGTAATGTTTAATTCCCAAGGTCATAGCTTCCGCAGCCTTGAAGTGTGACACAAGCTATAACACTGTCTTTGGGGGGTTGATCTTTTTCTACAGAGAGATTCAAGCAGGTGCTAAGCTATCATTAAATCGACAATTTTTTGATGAACGTTGGTCAAAGCATCGAGTTGTTAGCTGTTTGGATTGGTCATCCCAGGTAAAGTATAGCACAACTTCACTTTTTAATTCGAATTAACATATAATTTTGATATAGGACTTTTGTAATTAAGTCAGTGTGTATCATTTAAAATAAATTATAATGGGTGATGATTCTAATGTTGCCATTACCACTTTGACTTGTGTATACTGGAAGGAAGAATTGGAACTACTTTTAGATTTGAAATTCAGGACTTTATGCCCAAATCCAGTTTTGCTAATTTAATTACCCACTGAACACTTTAGATAAAATTTAAACATTTTAATGAACTACTTTAACATTTAAACATTTTAAATAATCAACTGTGCTAATTTAAACTCGGCCTAACATCTTGGTGAGCATAATTGTAAGGATCATTTTCAGAACAGTCTGATAGATAGTTAAGAACATAATAGTTCTTATTATTCGACTTGTTTCTATTTGATTCTCATGAATAGTATCCAGAGTTACTTGTGGCTTCCTATAATAACAATGAAGAGGCTCCTCATGAGCCTGATGGTGTGGCCCTTGTGTGGAATATGAAGTACAAAAAGACTACCCCAGAGTATGTGTTCCACTGCCAGGTAAGATGGCCTTTCAACCAACCGTCTTCCCATGCTTAGGGATCCACTCGTGAATGTGGGTAGACAAGTGCCTTTTTTTCTTTTCTTGTCAACATGATGATGTCATTGGATTGGCATTTACTAAACCACTCCATATTTGCAAACAGATGTCAGACAGAAAGCTGAACACTCTCAGTTCAATATGATCTGCGTTTTATAGCTTTCCTAACGTCTAACGTGAAACTACACCTAAGGGCCTTTGCAGTTGTGACTTTCTGTTATTGTGATTTACTATATAAAAGGAATCTTTTGGAAGATGTCTTTCCCACAGGGAGTTTCTCAGGGACTTATTACTGAATATATAGTCAGACATCGGCCCACTGAATCACTTAGACATGGCCTGAGGAGTTGCAACTAAATAGTTTAAAGTAAAAACATATGGTTGAATTAGGAAGCAGATGTAGATTTTTTTAAAGTGGATTTAGCAAAAGGTTAGAATTTGTGCCTCTTTCTGATTGTATATGTTAAAATCTTAATAGTGTCATAATCCAAAACAAACACTCTGAATCAAAACTACTATATTCTTTACTGTCATATTATAGTCAGAAGTCAGTCACAGGCCAGCTTTCCTTTAAAAACTGTAATTGATTGAAGCAACTTTTGTTTGATAACTATGTAAACATATAAATATCACATTTGACTTTTGAACACAAAATATTATAATTTTTTATTTCTTACAAAATTAAAATTAAATGGATCGTTTTTAAAACTTCTAATACCTTAAGTGGTAGAAAGGAAAATATTTCAGATAGTAGATTTGTTTTTCTAATTCATCAGACTTTTCCCACTTAAATCTTTTTGTTTGGTTTGTTTTTTTGAGACAGGGTTTCTCTGTGTAGCCCTGGCTTTCCTAGAACTCTGTAGAGCAGGCTGACCTTGAACTCAGAGATCTGCCTCTGCCTCCCAAGTGCTGGGACTAAAGGAGTGCGCCACCATGCCTGGCTGCCACTTAAATCTTAAATACAAAATTTCTACTTCTTTGCAGTCAGCTGTAATGTCTGCTACATTTGCAAAATTTCATCCAAATCTTGTCGTTGGTGGTACATACTCAGGCCAAATTGTGCTTTGGGATAACCGTAGCAATAAAAGAACTCCCGTGCAGAGAACCCCACTGTCAGCCGCTGCACACACAGTAAGTAACGAGTTATCTCATTAGACTTCTGTGCGCCCTCACTACTGACTGTAGAGTAGTATCTGGCTGCGGGGGTTCCGAGCATGCTTCCTTGTGGGGGGGGGGTGCATATATCAGGAAGTCATCTCTCTTCTAAGACAACCTTTGTGAATCATCAGAATAGCAACAGACTTCACGTTAAAGTGACCCCAGGGCTGAGGCCGGAACTGAGAGGTGGAGTGCTGTCCCAGCAGTGCTCAAGGTCCTGGGGTCAGCTCTCAGTAGAACAAAACGAAAGTTGTCAGCATACAGAACTGTTTGATATGAAATGGAATACCCGCAATTAGACTCATTGTTTCTGGAGTGTTTGTTTGTTTGTTTGTTGTTAAATAACCTCTGAAAACCCTGTTTCATGTTTTTAGCACCCTGTCTACTGTGTGAATGTTGTTGGAACACAAAATGCTCATAACCTGATCAGCATCTCTACTGATGGGAAAATTTGCTCCTGGAGTTTGGACATGCTTTCCCACCCACAGGTGGGTTAAACTCAGGAATGTAGGATTTTGAAGTAAATGCTAGTTTTTAATTGTACATATACCCCAGTTTCGTTTATATCATTTTATCATTTATAGATATTTTTATATTACACAGACTATAAACCTGAATATGTGTTGATAGCTTGAATATATCTTGCCAAACCTTTTTCATTTAACTGAGGTAGGTTTATATTAATACTATGTTAAAACAATAACTTACCAACCAGTTAAAAGTAGAAGCTTTTGCTGGGCGGTGGTGGCACACGCCTTTAATCCCAGCACTCGGGAGGCAGAGGCAGGTGGATCTCTGTGAGTTCGAGGCCAGCCTAGGCTACAGAGTGAGTTCCAGGAAAGGCGCCAAGACTACACAGAGAAACCCTATCTAGAAAAACCAAAAAAAAAAACAAAAAAAAAAGTGGAAGCTTTTTTATGAAGAATTGAATTAAAGCTTTACAAAATAGTTTTCTCATTTTTTTTTTTTCTATGTAGGATAGCATGGAGTTGGTTCACAAACAGTCCAAAGCAGTAGCTGTAACATCTATGTCCTTCCCTGTTGGAGACGTCAACAACTTTGTTGTAGGCAGTGAAGAAGGTTCCGTATATACAGCATGCCGCCATGGCAGGTAAACCTAGTAGGAATTCGCCGTTATTTAAATGGTTCTTGGATCATCTCAGTGAAACAACTTTCCTTATTTAAGTAGAATCCTACTCTAGACTTGTGACACCTTAAATTCAGGCACCTAAAACATACGTTAATTTTTTCTTAACAGAAGTAGTTTGGATTCATGTGTTTTGGATTGTGTGGGATGTGGTATATTGTAGGGATTTGTGTGTGCTTGTGCTCACAGAAGTTACTGGTAGGAGGCATGTTCGGCAATTAGAAATGTAGTATGCATGTACCACAATTGGCCTTCAGGTTTGTAAATGTGGCTGTCACCTGTTTTCTCTTTGGGTTTATTTGAACTTTGAGCTTTAGTGCAAGCCTACTGATAATGGTAGAGTAATGTCACTACATATGTTAAACCGACTAGGATTTGTTTTGAAATTGTCTAGCTGTCCTTTAGAAACATTGAGCATCTGGACCTCATTTCCAGTACAGATCACCTTCACTTCAAAGCCTTTGATTGAGATTAGTCCAGATTGTCTCTTACACAGCATCTTTGTCCTTACTCTACCACTATGGAGACTGGACTTCTGAGTTCTCCTGTCAACAGCATGGTGTTTATGGCTCCAAAAGTCCCCACTACTTGAGTAGTGTTATCAAATATGAATACAATAACATTTGGCATAAGTTATGCTAATGAACTATGAACATAGAATTGTGTTTGAAATTAAGTCAAGTTCTGGTATATGAACCCATAGTAAGATACACTGACTGAGTGTGATGGTGTACACATTTAATCTCAACACTCTGAGGCAAAGGAAGGTGGAGCTCTGAAGCTGAAGCTAGCCTGGCCTATATAATAAGTTCCAGAGCAGCTCAGGCTACATAGTGAGGCCTTGTCCTAAAAAAATAAATAAACAAAAGCATTCAGAAAATATGTGGTATACTTATAAGAGAGGTATCTAACATTTTCACTTTTATGAAATAGCAAAGCTGGAATCAGTGAGATGTTTGAGGGACATCAGGGACCCATCACTGGAATCCACTGTCATGCGGCTGTTGGAGCAGTAGACTTCTCACATCTGTTTGTCACTTCATCATTTGACTGGACAGTAAAACTTTGGACAACTAAGGTATCTGAAATACAGCTTTCTGTGCATTTAGTCAGTTTCCTGACACAAGGTGGTGCTCTAATACTACAGAGAAAGACACAGGTCTTAGACCTTAGATGATGTCTTAGAATTGTTTCCCAATACATAAAACATGGTAAGAAGTTACACCGTGTGCGAGTATGCTGATATTGGGGTGCCAACAAATAAAGTGACCCCACAAAAATTGAAGATTAGTCTTCCCACCCCTTTAGGCTTTTCGAGCTCAGACCTGTTTACTCTGAACTGAGTTGGAGAGAAGCCCCTGGAGAAAGAAGCCCCTTGACAGAATTTCATCCAGCCCCACACAAAAGCCATTCATTTGCTCTGTGGAGAGCTAGGAGCCTCAATTCAGCACTGCAGTGGCTCACGGGGCTGATGGGAAATAGAGAAAAGACAGAGACTATTTGCAGTAAGTCCTGTACAATAAGGCTACACGGTAAACTGGAATCATTAGAAAGCATTGGGAAGGCACATGTGTACTTTCTTACTCCGGTATAACTAATGCTGTTTATTGGGGCTTAGTAAACCATTACTTGAAGTACTTTTCACTTAATGATGAAAGGGCTTCCTAGTCCTCTGGTAGTTTCAGTGAGTGTGGCCTGGCCTGGCCAGTGAAAGTCTCACAGACAGAGCTTAGGGAGCATGACCTCCTGATAGATAGACTGTCATTTTGCTTTGCCTTGTTTTATAATTAAACTTAACTTGCTTGCTTTCTAGTTTTCTGCAGGATAACAGTGTTGCTAGTAAAACTGCACGTGTATCCTAGTCTACAGAAGCTACATTTTAAGCTTTCTTTTTCCTGTCCATCTACTTGATCTTAATGTTGACTTTTTGAATCCTTCACCATGGAACAAAGTTTCGAGACATGCTGTTGTTCTTGGAGATCTCTGAGAAAATCTAGTGTTCTTAAGAGGTGCCTTTCACTGTAGTGAGCTCCTACGTATGCACTTACCAAGTCTGGCCTAGTGTCCAGAGTGCACTTGCTGTTCACTCTTGTCCTGTCTCAGTGCCTCCTTTCAGTCTAACATGAAATGATTTAAAACAACCTTGCAAAGCTTGCCTTAAATTGAACATTTTCAGCTTTGACATTAACAGATAAAAATAGCACTTACCTGAAGTCTAATGAAGGAAACATCTAGAAAAGTGCTTGACACAGTGTCCGTTCTAATGGGGGTCGGAGCCTAAATGTATGTAATCAGTCATCTCTTTCATCCTTGGATCATAGACTGGCAAAAAACCTAGAGAAAGAAGTTCTCATAGCCAGAAGCAAAGAAGTGCATGATCTACAACTCTGTCTATGTGGGAAAATACATAGTCTGCTACTAAAACAAAGCAAGATACAGAATTGCAAAGATAAAACCTACTATTTCCATAAAGGTTTCAAATATCCATATAAGTTGCACGATTTCTGGCTGTGCTTTCTTGTGGGCCGGCCTGTAGGAGTCCAGAGAAGCATCTATCTTGGCCGTGCTTGGCAGCTTCTTTCCTTTTTTGACTATTGAAGTAATCTTCATTTGGGGACTGACTGATTGAGTGGTTAATTTTTAAATGTCAGATTTTCAGTGTGCTAGCTTTCTTTCTGCTTGAAATTTGAACATTCATTAACAGGATTTGAAAATGAAGAGCTCGTCTTGCCTATTTGAGAACGAACTTCCCTGTGATCGCAGACTAACAGGCATTTGCTTTTGTGGTTCTACACAGATCTTCATTAATAGTTGATATTTTTGTTTCTGTATTTTACTGTGTTTCAACATAGACGTTGCTTTTATTTATTTAAGTGTGTGTGTGTGTGTGTGTGTGTGTGTGTGTGTGTGTGTGTGTGTGCGCGCGCGCATATGTATTGTGTATGTGTGTGAATGCAGGTTGCCACCATGCACAAGTACATGTCAGAGGACAGCTTCAAGAATTGGTTCTCTCCTACCACCTTGCAGGATAAGGATGGAACTCAGGTCATTAGACCTGCACTCAGGCATCTCTGTCCACTCAGCCATCTCCCCTGTCCCAGAAGAGATTTGGCTGAGAACAATAGGCAGATATATCTCTTTTCCTTGCTAATTAGGTTAAGTTTTACCGTTTCTTTCATTCACTCTCAAATATGATAGATATTCTTCCCTGCCTCTAACACCCTTCCTAGTGGCCAAAGGGTGGGCCAGCATAGAATAGTGTATTTTATATCATGTATGATGAGCAAGAACCCCCTAAAATGTTATCAGAAGAATTGCCTTGGCCTAGGTTGTTGTTACACAGTTTAGTGATAGTATACTTGTCTACTATGCATGAGGTCCTAGGTTCAATCCCCAGCTCTGGAAGAAAAGAAAAGAGTAAGAATTCTTACCTTTTAGTCTACCCTTTCTGCACACAGTTCTGTTCTGTGAAGGATCAAACAGAAACAGTTTGCTAGGTAGATTTATGTATATGGCCAGACTTGAACTTACGCTTCCTAATTTAGTTGTTGCTACCCTTCAAATGATTTGATTGAGGCCCTCCCTACCTGTGCTGGAAAAATAAGTAGTAGGCATGTTCATGAATAATGAATTCTAATGAATGGTAGACAGTGTCTTAAAACCACTTTAAAAACATTATTCCAGCCGGGCGGTGGTGGCGCACGCCTTTAATCCCAGCACTCGGGAGGCAGAGCCAGGCGGATCTCTGTGAGTTCGAGGCCAGCCTGGTCTCCAAAGCGAGTTCCAGGAAAGGCGCAAAGCTACACAGAGAAACCCTGTCTCGAAAAACCAAAAAAAAAAAAAAAAAAAAAAAAAAAAAAAACCAAAAAAAAAAAAAAAAAAAAAAACATTATTCCATTTCCATTTTAAGGGTTTTTTTTTTTGTTTTTGTTTTGTTTTGTATTGTTTTGTTTTGTTTTGTTTTTGGAGACAGAGTTTCTCTGTGTAACAGCTCTGGCTGTCCTGAAACTCATTCTGTAAACCAGGCTGGCCTCAAACTCACAGAGATCTGCCTGCCTCTGCCTCCCAAGTGCTGGGATTAAAGGCATGCACCACCACTGCCTGGCCCATTTTAAGCTTTCATTGTTAAAATTTTTAAATTAATTTATTTATTTTATGTGTGTGGGTGTTTTGCCTCTGTGTATGTCTATGGACCACAAACATGCATGCCCAGTGCCTGCAGAGACCAGAAGAGGGCATCAGATACCTTGGAACTAGAGTTACAGATGGTTTTGAGCCACCATATGAATGCTGGCAATTAAACCTAGGTCATCTACAAGAGGAGCCAATACTTGAAACCTCAGAGCCAGCTCTCCAGGCCCCAATTTTAAGCATTGTGGTGGGGGAGGGAAAGTGGGGTGAAGACAGGGTTTCTCTGTAACAGCCCTGGTTCTCCTGGAACTCGATTTGTAGACCAGGCTGGTCTCGAACTCACAGAGATCTGCCTGTGTGTGCACCACCACACCCAGCTCACCATTTTAAGCTTTTAAAATCAGTTGCTCACATGTATGCACTTAACAGACTTCGTAAGTCTTGCTTCTCTGCCTGTCCTCTTCAAGTGCTCTCCTGCCCCAGGAACTGAATCCTGTAAACGGGAAGAAAGAGTCATTGGATGCTGTGTGTCTCTGTGTCCATTAAGATCTGGCTCTGCCCCAGTATCAAAACAAGATTCCTCCTCTTTCTCTTTTTGTGTAAGTCCTGTAAAAGTGGCGAGCAGAACTTCAGTCTGGCACTGCCTCAAATGCACCTTAAAGTGGTCTTCGGTGTACAAGTCTCCAGTCTTAGCTTGGCTGGGAAATTTAAAACCTAGCCCCAGAGTTCTGGCTCATCGGATTGTTTGAACAGTTTTTGACTTAAACTATTTGCGGTGTAGAGAATACACACAAGTAGGTGATCATGATCATCCACATATTGGTGAACTTGTTGTTGTTGTTTATTTTTGAGACAGGTCTCTTTACTTAGCCCTGGCTGACCTGGAACTCCTAAGACAGGCCAAGTTAGCCTCAAACTCACAGAGATTTGCCTCTCCGTCCCTCCTAAGTGCTGGAATTGAAGGCATGAGCCACCATGCCCAGCTCTTTCATATTGGTGAACTTAAACCAAGATGTTGCTTCTAAAATATCTAGAAGACACTATTAAAATCTCAAAACACCAAATTTGGAAGTCCACAATAGAAGTGCATTAGTGGGTCTGAAAAACAGCAGGGAGAATGGATGACCAATGGCAGTTTTTTGGGGGGTAACCTGGAAGATAGTGATTTCAGTTCTAACCTGGTAATTAGATGAACGTTCAAGCACATCTTAATATACCTGTCATAGGTTATTCTTAAAAGAAGTATTTACAGTAGATGATATCTTAATGTATGCATAATATATTGTAGTTTCAGAACCATATTTACTATGGAATGGCAGAGTTAGGGTGTTAATAGGCCATACCTAAAAAGAGTTTTTAGATTTTTGTAATCTATTTGCTACTTGAACTTTTCACAGCCATTGTTTCAATGCCCATCTTTAATCTGACAGCATGCTCGCTTAACTCTCGGCAATACTAGCATTAAAGAGGGTTAAAAGAACCTGCCAATGCTCAGAAAAGGAAATGTTCATGTAGTAGACAAGTTAAAATGAAAATATGCTTTGAAATTGAGGGCAGGTCTGAGGGAAGGCTGACTGATGGTCTAACCCAGTCCCACCTGGTGGCACTTACCTCAGTAACTTGCTGCAGGCCAGTGTCTAGCCTCCTTTGCATATTTAGAAAATCAATTTTGTCAGCTACTGGAATTGATTAGACAAGGGAATGCTGAATGTAACTAACAGGCTTCTAAGACCCTGGCACATTGGAGAATGTCAATTTATTAATTTACAGTCAGAAATTTAACTGCCAGAAGGCCCAGATACTCCTGCTGGCCTGACCAGCTCATTGTTTCCCTGTAGACTACCCACATGGGAAGCCAAATTATAATCAGAAGATTGCTTGGTGAGCAAGGACTTAGAACAAAAGAAGTTCTGTCATTTGAATATTCAGTGGCATCAAGCTAAGATAGCTTGATTCATTCATCTTCAAGTAAAGATAGCCTTGCCATGGGGTAGTTGATTCTCATAGTCTGTTGTCTGAGACTCCTCTCCTCTGGCCGAGGTTGAAATGGTGCTATCTTCATATGCCTCGTAAGACTTTGTCTTTCATTGTTTTTAATAGATACACTCTGCAGAGGTTATCTTTAGTCAGGTAATATGGGAAGTTATTTTTGACCTTGGGATGGTGTGTGTGTGTGTGTGTGTGTGTGTATGTGTATATGTGTGTGTGTGCATGTGTGTGTGTGTGCGCGCGCGCGTGTGTGTGTGTGTGCGCGTGCGTGCGTGAGTGCGTGCGTGCGTGCGTGTGTGTGTGTGTGTGTGTGTGTGCATGTGGGTATGTGCTCATGAGCATTGGGTCAGAAGCATTGGATTCCCTGGAGCAGGAGTGACAGGCAGTTTGCTGGACATGACTGTTGTCCTCTGCAAGAACAGTATGTGCTCTTAACCTCTGAGACATCTCTCCAGCCATTGAATGATTTCTTTTCAAAGGAAATTTGTTTATTTCTCTCATCATCTAAATTGAGGTCATAGTTATTTCCAGTTCACTGTTAATCCTGATGTATTGACTATAGAGACTATTGTTACTAATCTAGAACTTCCCAATTACCCCAGCTTTGGGGATGGGAGGGAATCTGTGTATTAGGTTCTTATTGCTGCTGTAGCAGCTTAGCACACAGCAGCTCAGAATAACAGAAATGTGTTGTTACTGTTTAGGAGGTGTGGGTGGGCTGCTTACCCATAGAGATCTGGAAATGTGTTCCGTACTTGTCTCCTAGCATCTGGGGACTGCCAGGAATCCTTGGGGCCCTTTGGCCTGCAGCTGTACCCCTCCAGTCTCTGTCTTTGTCATCATCGCATGGCCTTCTGAACTGCTGGCTTGATTATGTCTCTGTGGCCACATTTCCTCTGAAGAACACAGCCATAGTAGATGTGGGGCCCACCCAGTGCAGTGTAACCTACTTAACTTAGGTACTTTTAGGAGCACTAGATAGACAGGAATTTTAGGGCAACACCATTCAACCTGGCATATACCTTGAGCTTAGGAAAAACTGTATGGCCTGTCCCTTGACCATGCCGTGTTTATTGTCACAGCAGAACCAAATGATTATTCTGTTTATTCAGATGTCGTCTGTTTTTGGTTTGTTTTGTTTCATAGAAGCCCTTGGTCTTGATTTCTTCTTGGCAAATATGCTTTTGCAGGTCGTTTGTGAGTCCGTCTAGAGAGCTATTATGCCTTGTACAGCTCAGAGTTTCTCATTCTTGGTCATGTACTGGAGCAGCTTTCTAGACTTTAAAGTGCTCCCTGACACCCAGACATGTGAGAGCAGACCCCCAAAGACCCACACTATCCTTAAGATGCTCTAAGTGGTCACAGCATACTACCAATGTGAAGCCTCTGTTGTATAAGCAAGGAAGCAGGCTTAGAAAGAATGAGGGACTCTGCTCAAAGCCTTGCAGCTGGTTGCTGGCTGGATTTAAACAACAGGCTGGGTCCACCCCCTCCAGTTCTCCCTGCGCTCTTCAAAGGAAAGGAAGATACCACTTTAAAAAGATAGCTAAACAATTCCACTTGGGATTTTAATTTACAATACTATATATTAAATGACTGTACTATGAAGCATTATTTGATGTTAAATATGTGCATTTTCTCTGTGGGGTAAAACTCTGGCTTATCCTCAGATAAATGTTTGTTGTTGTTGTTTTTTTTAATTAAACTGGAAAAGTGTTTTAAAATAGTCACATTTTAAATTGAAGGACATTTTGCTTTTTTTTCCACATAATTTTTTAAATTGTGGTCTTTTCAGCTGGGTGGTAATGGCACACGCCTTTAATCCTAGCACTGGTAGGCAGAGGGAGGTAGATTCTGAGTTCGAGGCCAGCCTGATAAACAGAGGAGTGAGTCCAGGACAGCCAGAACTACACAGAGAAACCCTGTCTTGAAAAAAACAAACAAACAAAAAATTTTTTAAAAATGAAATAAAATTGTAATCTTTTACCCAAGCTATATAGCAATTTACTGAGTAAATTAAATATTTGATCTGACCATTTCCTGAGACAATTAGCAATCTTTTTATTATAAATGTTTTAATCTAATTTGTGTATTGCTTTCTAATAGTTTGTAGATTGTAAAAAGAGTGTGTACTCATTCTGGCTTGCGAAACACTATGTGAGTTTCATGTTGCTGAATATAGTTACAGATCATTCTTTTTTAGCCATGTAAATAAAACATAGTTTATGTTTCCATTCTGTTGGTAGTATGTGGGTTACTTCAGTCCTGGTAGCAGCATATAGTTGTGTCCGTCTCCCCCCCCCCCCCCGCTTTCTTTGTTAGAGTCTTGCTGTGTAGCCCTGGCTGGCCTCAAACATGTGATCTTCCTAAGTACTGGGATTTCAGGTGTTTACCACCATGCCAGGTCATAGTTGTCTTTTGATGGCCATAAATAGTTCTGTTGAGCATATACTTAGCATGGAATGGCTTGGTCAGAGGACATGCATATGCATTCAGCTTCAATAGATAGCAATTCCATGTGAGTCTACCAGTTCCTCATCCACCAGTAGCAGTGGGTATAGGTACGATTGCTTGTATCCTTGTCCCCACTTAAGAGTTTTCTGATGTTTTTCCTTTTAATCCTCCAGTGCGTAAAGTGACATTCTGGGTATTTCCATTTGCATCATTGTGATTAAGCACCCTTCCACGAGGTTATTGTCCATGTTGTGAAATGTTCATTCTGTTGCCCTTGTTTGCAGTGCTATGTTGAACTCAGAGACTGGTGCGTGCCAGACAGTTGTTCTAACAATGAACTATGTCCAGCACATAGACCACCATATTTTTTGTTTCCTCCAGTGCTGAGATTGAATCTAGCTAGGCAATTGCTCTGCCACTTGGGTACTCCCCCAGCCCCATCCCAGCCCCCAACACACACATTTTTATTGAATGTATGAATATGATTGGTTTTTGAAACAGGGTTTCTCTGTGTAGCCTTAGCTGTCCTGGAACTCACTCTATAGACTTTAGACCAGGCTGGCCTCGAACTCGCAGAGATCCACTTGCCTCTGCCTCCTGATGCTGGGATTAAAGGTGTGTGCCACTACTGCCTGGCATGAGTATGATTGTTAGCAGCTTTGTTTTAAGTTTTTGATGGTAAACCTTAAAATTGCCTGGAAATGGAATGTTTGAAGTGTACTATCACCTCGGTAGTCAAAGACTTTAGAATCTTTGGTGTGCCAGAAATACCACTGTACCTCTGGGGTGGCTTTACAAAATTTAGCTGATGATTGTATGCACATTCCAGGCTAGGCAAGCTGTATCCTTACTCTCTTAACAGTGGCTTTAAAGACGGGGAGGTAATCTTCTGTGTTTGGCTTATTTTTTTTTTATTAATTTTTTTGTTCATTGAAGGAGGCAGGGTGTATTTTTTTGGATTTTTTTTGTTGTTTTTTGTTTAGTTAAAAACAAACATTTTGGGCTAGTACAATAATCTCATGCTGTTGACATATCTTAAAATTTTAAACTCACAGTTTAAAACTTTTTATTGAGCTGCCAAGATGGCTAAACAGGTGCTTTCCACCAAGCTTGACAACCTGAGTTCAGGCCCCGAGACCCACGATGTAGTAGATAGAGAACTGCCGCCCACAGGTTGACTTCCAGCCTCCACACTCACACTCACGAGGTCTGTCAGTTTGAAGAGCACATCCGGCCCGCCCGACGGCAGCATGAGGCCGTGCTTCCATCCTCAGCACCTGTGGCAGCTATTATTCATGGGAAGATGCTGAACTCACTCCCCTGGTTCCTGCCCTTCCCAGGCTGCCGTGCTACCGAGTGAGCGTCTGTGCTGCAGCTGTCAGTCCCATCTTCCCACAGATGCTAGGACGGTCAGGCTCCCCCTGCTTACAGCTGGAGTCTGTTTCCCTTTCGCTGGAGCCTCTGAGGCTTTGCTTTTGCTGTCCTTGTAGCTTTATCTGCTTCTGTAGGGAGATTTCCAGGTGCTTCAAGAAGTAAAGGGCCACCCACCACTGTCGTCTTCCAGCAGCCGCTCACTGACAAGTGTTTTGAAGCATATTCTGTTCCTTCTTCAAAAACAGGAAGACCACTACAAGCTAAAAAGGAACTGCAAGCTAATACTTGGTTCTTAGTTTATAATGCCAGGTGATTCTGTAGTGGAACAGACTCCAGGAACATTTGTGGGCTGGGTTGGTAAGAAACTGTGTACCTATAGACTGTCGTATCTCAGGGATAAGTAGTTAGGGATTTCTGTGTGTAGTGTATGCTGACCGTGCTAAAAATTAGCTTTTCCTTTTCAGAATAACAAGCCTTTGTACTCGTTTGAAGATAATTCAGACTATGTTTATGATGTTATGTGGTCACCCACCCACCCAGCCCTGTTCGCCTGTGTGGATGGCATGGGGAGACTGGATCTGTGGAATCTCAACAATGACACAGAGGTGAGCAGGAAAATAACAGAAAATCGGAGATTTATTGAATAATTTGTGAAACTTCTTTTATCCCAAGGAATGTAAAAGTGCTCTGTGATTGTAGCTTCATCACAAAGAAACCAAATAAGCTTTGTGCCCTCCGTGACAAAAGCATGCTGTGCAGAGCTGAGGGGGAAGTAGTATGGCCGGGAACACTGGCATTCTTTACCTTCGGAAAGCAGCGGCGGCGTGTATCCGCTGTCCAGAAGTCCATGGGGCTCGGAATATGCTTTCATTCTTCGGCTAGAAAAAGAGAGCTCCAGATTGTCAAAGTATTCCAAATTACCTGTTAGCCTTGAAAGCGTTGTGTATCATCCCTAAATGCTAGTCTTAGCCTGACTCGTTTGAAAGAAAGGAAGTACAATTTGATGACCTTTTTCCATGAAGGATTAAGATCAGTGTACCATTCATTAGCTGTACAGTGACTATGGAGCTGGGCATGATGGCACATGTTTATAAACTAGACTTGAGAGGCAGAGGCAAGAGTGTCACGAGTTAGAGGCTACATATGTGCCAAGACCCTGTCTCAGAAATCCAAGGCTGAAGCCCAGGAGTGGTGGCACACGCCCCTAATCCCAGCACTCGGGAGAGAGAGGCAGGCGAAGCTCTGTGAGTTCAAGGCCAGCCTGGTCTACAGAGAGAGTTCCAGGACAGCCAGGGCTACACAGAGAAACTCCGTCTCAGGAGAAAAAAAAAAAATAAAAAATCCAAGATCTGGGCATGTAAGTCAGAGGTAGAACATTTGCTTAGCATGTGTAAAACCCTGGGTTTAATTTCCCAGCACCATAAATAATAATAATAATGTAGAAACCATCATATTTCTTATTTGCTATACCAAATTTAGCAATGCAGTTTAACTGTGTCTGAGTTGTCCTTGGCCAGTTGATAGAGGCTTAAAATGTTCTTAGGTCCCTCTATTAGTCACAGGTCACTGGTTAGCAGAAGCTACCAGTTATCAGTAGTGGCTGTAGAGGATTGCCCTCTTATTTCTTCTGGGTCCTGGTGGCATCTTTCCAGATCTCTGGAAGTTAAGCACTTAGTTATATAAAAATGAGGAAAGGAGAAATATGTTGGAAATGCAGGAATTTTAATACTGTTATCTACTGGTTCTGTGCTTTGGGGGGAACATTCAAATACTGCTAGGAAAAAAGTATAAGCTACATAATTAAATTTTGATGTTCTAGAATGGTACCAGTTTGTTTGTTAGCAAGCTCACTACATAACTCTGGAACTCACTATGTAGACTAAGCTGGTTTGGAACTCACAGAGGTCTACCTGCTTCTACCCCCAATACCCACCCCTGGTGTGGGGATTAAAGGCATACACTATCATGCCCTGCCCAAGTTTACTTTCTTAGTTTAGATTTTGCTACCAAAGGTTTATGGCTATAATTAAATGAGGATCTTTCCCTTAGTAGTATGGTTATAATATCCCTGGGCTAATCTCTTGGGAAAGACTGATGTAAGCATAAGGACTAGTTTGGTGATATTTCAAAACTTTGAAGTTTCCTTATGCTTTTTGGTCTACATCAGTGAATGTTAGTTACTCCAGGTGTGGCTGAGATGCAGTCAGACTCCAGAACCTGCTGCCCCTGTTGGTGCTCTCTCCTGCCTTCCTGGGGAGCAGGGCTTGGGAAAGCTTATTCCAGGAGCTGCTGTCCATCAGATCATCCGGTTCTAGCTGGGAAGGAAGGTACAAGCTGCAGAAGTCATTCTTGTCCTCTAAGACTGAACTGTGATCTCTTTAGGAGGGCGCTGGAAATACTTTCTTTTAAATATTTTAAAATGGGTTTTAGTCTCGTGTTTTTAAACAGCTTGACTACTTAAAGAAGTTAAACACAAAAACCCTTTACTGAAGAGATATGTGCAGCCATGTAAGAATTACTTAGATAAGTTCTTGTTATTTTCCCAACTCTTCTTCAAGAGTTGAAGGTAATGTTATTATAATAAATCTCTGAACAGAGGGAAAGTGGGAAAATTCTTCTGTTGTTGCTGTGTGTTTTGGGGTTTTGGAGGTTTGGTTTTGGTTTTTCAAGACAGGTTTTCTCTGTGTAGCCCAGGCTGTCCTACAGCTAGCTCTCTGTAGACCAGGCTGGCCTTGAACTCAGAGATCTACCTGCCTCTGCCGTCTGAGTGCTGGGATTATCTTTTATCTATTATCATCTGCTTTTTAAAAACACAGATTGGAGAAGAATTACTATTTTATGTGTTTAGAAACTTTGATGAAACTTTTAACCATGCTGTATTTTAAATGACTCAGGTACCAACTGCCAGCATTTCTGTAGAGGGAAACCCTGCTCTTAACCGTGTGAGATGGACCCACTCTGGAAGAGAGATTGCCGTGGGTGATTCTGAAGGACAGATTGTCATATATGATGTGGGAGAGGTATGGGCCTGCAATTTTGACATACATGCTTAGTGGCACTGTGAGGTACTGTGGTAGCTAAGTTTTGCCGTGTGCCTCTTGAATTGTATAAACTGCATGCTTGTGTACTTTCACCACAGAAGCAGCTTCTGAGGCCGTGTTTCTTTTTAACTGAGCATCCTGTACCCATGTGCAACAGATGTGAGGGTAATTTCAGATTCCTACATTGCTAGGAATTCTTTAGGCAGAAAAGGAAATGTAGGATTACAAGTGGACTTGGAGTTTTCTAGAATTGATGTTGAGATATAATTTTATTTTTTTGTATAGTTTTGTTTGAACCAGATAGTAGAAATCAAAGATACCATCTTTTGATAGGGTTTTTTCCAAAGTATTTAATGTGTATATATATATGCCTGAGTATGTGTATGTGCACTGTGTATAGGCAAGAGCCTGTAGGGGGTCAGAAAAGGGCATTGGATCCCCTGGAACTGGAGTTATGGATGGTTGTGAATCACCTTGTGGGGCTGGGAACCAAACCCGGGTCCTCTGGAAGAGCAGCCACGCCTTAGCCACTGGGCCACCTCTCCACCCTTTGTGTGGCTCTTTAGCAACTGTGAGAAAAGCGGAGGGCACAGAGGCCCGAGATGGAGTTCAGCAGGGTGAGTCGAGCTCTCTTGGCACTCTGCTTGACGAGACACAGCACCCAGGGACACAGTGCGCAGGGCTCAGTTCTCCCTTTGTGGTTCTGACCAGAGCGTTCTGGACCTTTTCTTCATCATTACTCTCCATCTTGTCCTGATACTTTGTGGCTGCAGCAGTCAGATCTTGGGGACAAGCAATCGGATCATTTAGAGCAGCCAGTGGACCATGTGCACAGATGGACAGTGTACACAGGTTGGACAGTGTGCACAGGTAGTTGCTAGCTGCAGAACCCTTTTGAAAAGTTGTGGTTAGTCAAGCTCAACAGTGATTTTTAAGTTAATTTTAACTAACTTAACGTAAGTTGTCATCACGCTTGGCTAGTGACTACCCTATTAGCTGTTGTAGATTGAGAAGCCAGTTTGTCCACTGGCCACACTGGATGATTTGTGCCCTGTTGTGGCAGTGTTAGTCTCTGTGACAAGAGCAGCTACAGGGAAGTTTGGGTTGCCTCTGTGAGGCAAAAGCACCGTTCACCTCATTTTCTTCTTTGCTCTTGATTCCACACTGTGCTAAGTAGCAATATAACTTCTCACAAAGGAGTTAGAGAATCAAGACAGAGTACTTTATATTCCAAACAAACCCTGTGTTCAGGAAGCTGACTCGAGAGGATCACGAATTGGAGGCACTCTGGGCTACACAGAGAGGTCCTCTCTCAGAAAAGAAAACAATAAAATAACTTTCATACTAGTAATGGCGCAAGACATAGACTAAAAAATTTGAAGGAATTCTTCTCCATCAGCAAGATCCATCAAGGTGCCAGGAAGTCTGTTGACCAAGTCTTGTTGCCACCCTTGCATTGTGGTGGGGACAGCAAATTCATGTCTGAGCTGTCGTGACATGCTTCACAAATACTCTCTTTGTTTTGAAATGTCGTAAATCATTGTTATAGTCTCTCTAAGTATGGAAAGGCCCTTTAGGTCAATTACTAATTTTTAATGGAAAAATTATTTGAAAACAGAGTAATAGTAGATAAGATGATCTTTTATTTTGTTGCTCAGCAAACATTGTCTTTCTTTTAACAGCAGATCGCTGTCCCCCGCAATGATGAATGGGCGAGATTTGGCCGAACACTTGCAGAGATCAATGCAAACCGAGCTGATGCCGAGGAGGAGGCCGCTACCCGAATCCCTGCCTAGCCCTGAAAGTGGGCTGTAGCCTTAGTGAATGGGCACAGATGATGAAGTAATTCCTAAACTATTTGCATGCTTCTGATTAAATGCATATTAAAAGGAGATTTCATGGATAAACTGGGTTTAATGCAGGAAGCAAAGCTTATAATGCCCCTTTTATATTCTATTCATTTTGTTTTGGATTGGTGTCATTTTTAATACCGCTGACAACTTTATAGAATGCAGCCTTTTCTGAATTCTAACACATAGGTGTGTATTGTTAATTATTCTTTTGGATTCTTTTCAACTTGTAATACTATATATAATTATTTCTAAAGCACAGACTAAAGTTCTGCATATTTCTAAATACCCACAATTCCTCATTATGCAATACAGTACATACATAATTCTTGTCGATTACGTTCTCACTGCCTTCACTGTGTAGGAACATTGTTCTTAGTCCCAGCATGCATTCGCCTACCTGTTTTAAGTCTCATTTGGATGCCCTTTTCCTTCCTTATAGTTCTATGCTAGTTATCTATAAATAAAAACATATGTGTTAACTTTTCAAATTTTCATTTTTACTTCTTGAAATTTGAAATTTTCTCTTATAAATTTTTTGTTAAATTTTTTTTAAGTTCTTAATGCAAACAGCCACCTTAAATCCCATGCGGCCTTAAATACACACCATACAGGGATAATGTAGCTCTCTCTCCCTGGGCATTGTGAACTCATGTTGGATCATTTGTCAGCGGAAACTTTCTCCTCAGTTAGCTTTTGCCTGACTGTTACTTTCCTTCCATCTCTCTTCAAAAGACTAAATGCTCAGTCCCTTTGTCTGCCCTGATTGAGGCGGCTGTGCGTGTACGCGCCGACAGGAAACCACCTCGGAGAGAAGCTTGCCCATGAACGCAGCAGCCAGGACGGAGCTGCGCTCAGTGCCCACGCTCTGCCCTTACATCCTCCCTCCATCTTGGAATTTGGAGGACAGCTGTACAAACCTGCAAGGCAGATGGCAGATGGCAGATGGCAGATGTCTGTGTGGTGTGGCAGTCGCCTGTCTCAAGACCAGGGAGGGAAGGCTGGATCGGATCTTGAAGATTTACGTGCTCCGAGTTGTCCTTTCTTGAATCCTTCTGAGTTTAACTTTTCACTTGACAGAACTTGAACTAAGAGATTAGATCAGAATTTGAACTTTTACATTTTGGTTTAATAACAAGGATTTATTGAGAGAGAATTATCCATAGCAGAACTTCTATATAGCAGAAATTCTACATACCAGAACTTGCTCATTCTTAGTACTCTGTGGTGTAAGGAATAATTGATCAGAGATACTAGACCCAAACTGTAGTTCTATCTTAACACCCATGAGAAATGTGATGTTAGCCAAGCCTGAGCCTTATTCTTACATTTATGAATTGTCAGTTTCATTATTTCTAAATTGTATCCCAGCTCTAAAAAGAGTAACCTTAATTGTATCATTTACTTCTCCCCTTTAGAATGTCTCATTTTCATGAGTTGGCCCCCCACCTCCCCTTAGTTGTCTGTTACATACCAAAGAAACATCTCCTGGTAGTAATGTCTAAGTCCAAAGTTCAGTGTCAGCAGGGCCCACTGTCATTCTGTAGAAGAGTTCAGATACTCAGAGGTACTGTGTGTCTGTTCTTAGTCTGTAAAAATGAATAGGAAAAAGGGATAATACAAATGTTAAAATAGAAATGGTCACTGGTCTCAAGTTGTTCTTTTATAAAAGAAAATGAAGGAGCTAAAGAGTTGGCTTATCGATGAAGAACACTGGCTGCTCTTCCAGAGGACCTGAGTTCGATTCCCAGCACCCACATGGCAGCTCACAACCATCTGTATGTAACTCCAGTTCCTAGGGATATAACACCCTCTTCTGGCCTCTGTGGGCACAAGGCACACATGTGATACACAAACATACATTCAGGCAAAAACACCTATACACATAAAATTCTTTTAATTAAAAAGGACAGCTGACAAGTATTTATAAAATACTTATGGCCAATGAGTTTTGCTTCTGGAAACTAATTTCTCCCCCACCCTACAGAAAAATTTTATGTAGACCCTTGCTCATTCAACCTTCCTGTGCATTTTTACGAACACGTGTTTACTGTAAGGAATTATCTTTGGAGTCTGCAATTTAAAGACTAAGGCTTACTCAGTGTCAACAGTTCTGAGGCTATTGTAACTGGCACACAGACTGATGAGATCCAATTGGTTGGGGCGGGGAATCCTGCAGTTTTTACTTTTAGGTGTGAAAGACCTTTGTGATTTTGAAAACTGTCCTGTGACGTTAGTTGCCGCTTGCCTTGTGATCAGTTTCACTTTTGTTTCCTAGACAGGAAACAGGCTGCAGCCTTCTCGCTGACTTCCTGCATTTTGTCGTTCCTCTGATTTGGAATGGCAAGTTAAATGTCATCACCCTTGTTTGTGCTGAGAAAGCCTACTCCGTTTTCCAGACAGTAACTAACTTGCAGTACATCTCTGAGATCATTTTTAGTATCATTTAAGTCAAATATTCCCCAGTAGAAGCTTTTTTCCTTTACAGAGAAAGTTTAGCAAGGCTGTGTAGAAACTCTCTGTAAGAGAAACACTAGAAGGGATCCTGAGGGGACGAGCGACCGGAAGTGGAGGAGGAAGAGCCAAGATTAGCTGAGCAGGGGCAGGGTGGCTGCTCCAGTCAGTCCTCACCCAGATCGGCCGCTTCCCTGCAGCCTCCTCACGGCTGGGAGGCACGTCGCTCCCTCTGTCCTTTTCCTGGACAACTGAAAGTGTTTTTTCACGGTCCGGGCGTTCCAGCGTTGGCGTTCTACCTGGAATAGCTGCATAACTAGGTACGGGTGAGGCTGGGGCTCAGTCACTGCTCCCGCTGCGCCCAGCTCCTGGGCATCACACTGCTCCTGGGCATCCGAGGTGTGGTCGCACATCTGCAGCAGAGGTCTAGGGCTTAAAAGCCAACCACACTGCCGCTTTTGATGACAGTTATAGAGTTCGGCTGAGGTGGGTTTTGCTTTTGTCTTAATCCAAGCTACATAATTTTAACAAAGAAGTCCTTACTTTTGAGCTGTCATCTTGCTGATTGTTAGTGTGGGGAAAATATTCCCAAGTAGAACCCCATATTTGACTCATAAAAATATAAATAATTAAAAATATTTAAAAATTTAAAAATACTGGCAAGATAACACAGCAGTTAAAGACACTTGCCACCAAGCCTGTCCTGAGTTGGATCTCTGGGGCCATGTGGTAGGAGGAAAAAAGCCAGCTCCTACAAGTTGTCCTCTCACCTACATATGTGCACACAGGATGTATTAATTTATTTATTATAAATGCTAGGAAATAATTTACTCGACTGACTTACAGATCTGAGAGAATTAGTGTTGTCCTAAAGGCACTATAAAAAGAACATCCAAAAAAAAAAGAACATCTAGGGCCTGGAAAGATGACTCGTCGGTGAAGAATGCTTGCTGCTCTTGCAGAGGACTTGAGTTCAGTTCCCAGCATCCACATCCCACATCCCACAGCTCACAACTGCCTGTAACTCCAGCTCCAAGGCACCTAACACACTCTCTTCTGGCTTCCATGAGCACCTGGCCTTGCGTGTACATATGTACACATATAACACAACATTGAAAGTGTGTTGACAGAAGGAACATCAGGGCTGGCTCAGCAGGTAATGCGCTCGCCTGGAAAGCAGCACAAGCAGAGCTCAGTTGGGTCCCTCGAGCACCTTAAATGCCGGCTGAGAAGGGCGGCTCCCTGCAATTTGAGCAGTCGAGACAGGACTCCTGGAACATGCATGCACACCACACACACATGGTAAAGGCAAGGTAAAATCACGTTCCGTATTTCAATTGAAGAGTTAAATAGCATTCTTGTAATCTTTAGTCCACTACCCCAAAGTGGTAATAGCTTTCTCACTGTAGCATACATAGACTTTAAAATCCTCTTTTGATATTTAGGGAACAGTTTTAGAAAAAGATTTCCCAGTCCCAAGCCAGAATGCCAGCCGCAAGACTCCACATAGTCATCAAATCACAGTGCTTTTCACAGTAAGCCAGCGCTCCCAGACTTAATGTTTGAACTTCAGATCTTTAAATTCCCTTTCTAAGTTGCCATGTTCCTAATTCTTCAACCTAAAAATCCGAATGGATGTCAGGCATTTAAGTTTTCAGTATGTCGCTTCTAGCCACAGAGAGTTTCACCACAGCCAATCGGCAATCTTTTACAAACTTTTGTAAAATTATAGTATTTTGTGTTGTTAGTTTCCTAGCAGGAATCTCAGTTTCGGCTTCTTAATATTCCATTACCGGTTCCCAGCTAGAGCCTGGAACAGCTTGCACTCAGGTAAGCTTGCTGAAAGGTCTATTTCACTTTGTGAGGTCACTTAGTCAGGTCTCTGGGAATGTATTAGCCTGCCTCTCTCATAATGTCCTTGATTTGGCCAGAAAGCCGTGGGGCAGTGATTGTATGGGGTGTGGAACACACCTGTACCGCACCGAGCGTGCAGAGACCTGACCCTGTGACTGGAAATCAGGAATGCCGCTGGGAAGATGCTGATAGCAAGTCATTTTATCTTTTGTGGATTTTTATACTGAATCTTTGAGTACTTTTTTTTCTGAGCAAAGTAATGGAAATGCTCTGGAACAAAGTTTTTATACTTAAAGATGGCCTGATAAAAGAGAAAGAATACTGAGCCCCCAAAGACTCCGGTTCCAAGACAGCCATGGTGGTACATGCCTGTGACCCCAGCACTTAGGAGGCCAGGACAGAAGAATAAGGTTGAGGCCGGGCTGAACTGAAGGGTGAGATCCTATCTCAAAAACAGAAGCCTGTGTTCCATTCCTGTTTGTCCCTCTTACATAAGAAAACCTGGAACACATAGTAGTACCCCTGGCTGTCCTAGAACTCTCTCTGGAGACCAGGCTGGCCTCAAATTCACAGATTCCCCTGCCTCTGCCTCATGAGTGCTGGGATTAAAAGCGTGCACCACCACCGCCTAGTGTTTCTTAAATGAGGAAAACAATTGCTTTACTGTGGTAATTCTGTGAGGGAATGCATATGTGAAGACTTTGTAAAATACAAATATTTTATTTTTAGTTCCTTTGCTTAAGAATGTGAGAATGGAGAGAGGCCATATTTTAAAACCTTTTTTTGGGGGGAGAGGGAGGACAGGATCTCACTATGTAGCTCTGACTTACCAGGAACTCACTGTATAGACCAAGCTGACCTTGAACTTGCAGAGATCCACCTGCCTATCTCCCAAGCCTATATTTTAAAACTCTTACGTGATGTAACAGGAGCTCATCTTTAAAGGGTCAAATGCCTTGGTGTCCAAAAGGAGTTACTCTCTCAAGTGTTCTCATCACGGGCTGAGCCCTCATGGTCACCTGACAATGAGTAGTGTGAGCCAAGTACACATACAGCATGGGCCATGTGACATCTGGAACCTTTGAAGCAAGAGGGTGGGACTCCTTTGTGAATGAGTGAGAAAATGAATTTGCTTGGAGACTATACCACCACACAGCAGAACCCCAACATCAACGATCTAATATTTATAGTCCCCTTCCCCTTTCCAAGGATTAGTCTTCTTGGAAATGGCATGTGCTCACTGTGGGGAGATGATCATGACAAGGAGGCACTGTGCTCTGCACAGCTCTAGAGATTGACCTAACTGGAGTGGCAAGGGGACAAAGAAATGACAGACCCAGAACAGCTGGGGTGGTAGCCTGGGCTCTAACTAGAGAAGCCACAGCACCCTAGAGGCTCGGTGTATTTATTATCTATGGTTGAACAGGGAGACAGGGTTACTGCATACAGCTGAACATGGAGGCAAGGTCAGCTAACCTTGTTAGAAACAGTCTATAGGGGAGCAGTCTTGAAGCCATGACCAGATTGGAGGAGGCTGTGATGAGTTTTCTGAACACATTGTCAGCATTGACACTGGGCCAGAGGAAAGCTCTGCCATCCCTCTGAGCCTGCTTTCCCACTGCCGTGGTGCTGAGGCATTGGGAGCCTTGATGTGGCTGTCCCCTTATCAAACAGTACGCATTCACTTGGGACTTAGCGCCATCGCGGAAGCCCTGTAGTTAGTCTCACAGGAATGACTCCTCCTCACCTTTTCCCTGGACTGGGAGGTCCCTGCTCTGTTGTTATATCCAAAACACCATCTCCTGCTCAGATCAAAACCTTGTATGCAGACCGCCAGGTGCTGTAGTTTGCTTCTCCATTGCTGGGATAAACATAGAGACCAAAAGCAGCTTGGGGAGGAAGGCGTTTATTTGGCTTCCAGCTTCAAGTCCATAGTCGAGGCAGAAATGGAGCCCCTCACTGGTTCCCTTGCTCTGACTTGCTCAGCTGCCTTCCTCATACTACCCAAGGGCTCCCTCCCCAGGGATGGCACTGCCCACAGTGGGTGGGGCCTCCTACATCAATTAGTGTAGCCAGAAGGTTTAAAAATTAAATTAGCATTTAAGAGAATAGCTTCCCCAACATGCCACCAGGCCAACCCAAGGGAGGGAATTCTTTGGTTGAGGCTTCTTCCGGGCTGTGTCAGGATGATAGCTGAAGCTGACTACGACATCATTGAACAAAAATCTTGCTACAGTGACCAGGCCTTTATTAATAGGTTTCATGTCCATTAATCTCTGAATGTAAATCAAATTTGCCAGCACACAGAGGGTCATTAGACAGATTTGGAAGAATCT